GGTGTAGCACTTTGGTCCTTAAGACAATATTGGGTCTTCGAAAAATTGTTGCTGCACTCTTTCTAATGATATGTTTATATATAAAAAAACAATGATATTTTGGTAAAATCCTAACCATTGTCAAAATAGCCATCAAATTCTGTATGTTTATTGATGGTTGGTAGACCAAGGTAATGCTCTCCCCCCCCCACCCCCGGTCTTGAGAAATGGAGAGGTTTATTCCATATTTGTTATGGAAATTAACGTCAAGGCTAATCTAAGACGTGCAGAAATTAGGGGGTTCTAAAAGAGGGTGTTTCGCGAGACTGGTCAGAGCTCACCCAGGTATTCCAAGCAACTATTATTATTATTATTCCAGCTTAACAATAAAGTTGTAGGAATCATTTGACCTGTAGTGTAATATATTACGATCACGAAGAAAGCAAACACAACAAGGAAAGAAGTCCGATAGTACTACAGTGGAAGCGGGCGTTACCAATCATTTCTCTGGACATATCAATGTCCGGCAATACACTGTACAAGTTAAGAGACCTGCCACTACAAGATCTTTATGTTCATAGTGTTTCAAAATGACAAATAACCGTTTATGTGAAATAAGTTTAGTTAACGCCCGCGTCCACAATAGAACACAGATCCTATTTATAGTGATGCGGTTATAAAAAGCCATAATAATATAACAAATTTAACAATTTTATTACAAATTAATCAAAAGTCTTTAAGCAAGGCCTTTTCGTATTGTCGGTTGAAAGACATGGCGGTGCTACTCTTACTTGGACTCTTCGGTGAATCTCAGGCCTAGTCTTTGTTGGTTATCGTAGTATTTCGTATTCTCTGATTGTTCAGTCCTTGTGTCCATGATCAAAATTTATACGTTTCAAAAAGCAGACATCATTGTTTACAGTGGCCCCATCGATGTTCATATTTATATCCATTTGCTTAATCCGTAAGAAGCCGTAGTCTATTCTTGTAGATTACAAATAATTACCAATTTGTACATAGTATTATATACCTTTTGATTTTATCTGATACATCCGACTCTGACGTTTTCATCTGATATATCCGAATCTGACGATAATATTATTTCATCTGATATCCAACCACAATAGAATAAACAAATGTTATCTTACAAAAGTTGAATTATTCAACATAATTTATTCCATTTGGACCTGATGCATCATATCCGACACATTGCTATTGTTTTACATTAATACAAAATCTGTAATATATCTGTAACAATACTAGTTATGCTATAACAAAATGTGTAAATTCTCCAGCAAATGTGCTTAACTCTCAGTAGATATTTCTTTTGCCAATAGTTTGTCTTTTAGTAATTCGTTTTCATTTGTTTTACACCTGCTCTTGTTGACAGCTCATTACCCCTTAGTCTTAATATGCATTCAAAACATCTGCTGTAGTCTCCGACAGAAACAGGGCATAAAAAGTGCTGTCAAGAATCCAGTTACTCAATACTGGGGAATCGTAGGATTATTATAACAGAATATCCCGAAAGAACAAATTGTGAACGCAAATATTTTTTTTTACTGCTAATGTAAATGAAATGGCATTTTCGGGACTTGTCGTACTTGTTAGCTAATGTGAATATAATTCATAAATTAATTAAAAGTTTGTGGACAATAAAATCTGGTAGAGGTGTGGATATGACACACCCTTGTCTGATTGGTAATAATCATTACCAAGGCTACTAACTAAAAAAAATGGCATTTTCGGGATTTATCGTACTTATTTGGTAATGTGAATATAATTTATATATTATTTAAAAGTTTGTAGACAATAAAATCGGGTAGAGGCGTGGGTATGGCACACCCTTGTCTGTCTGGAAGGAGTTATATAATCATTACCAAGGATACTAACTCTTCACTTTCTGTCAGAAATAGGGTACAATGGATGAGTCAGTTCCATAACTAAATGCGCAGAAGCATCTTTTCTCCGTAATAAATACATTGGTCTCGTTTGCGGTCAGTTCTATCTTTGCATATGTGTTTACTAAGAAAATCATTCAAGCGAAATGAATTTCGAATCGTTTGTGGTCAGTGCGATCTTTGCATATACGTGTTTACTAAGAACATTATTTAAGCGAAATGGATTACGAATCATACTTGGCCCAATATAGTGTAAGTCCCGAAAGTAAGCTGATTGCAACAAAATATTTGTTGGTTGGTATGTGGGAATCAAGGTAATAATATTATCAAATATGTAGAAATAAGTGTATTCAACAGCTGGTGTATTAATTAAAAACACGTCTAACGATTGAGTTGGTCGATTCCGTGCCAATGAATAAGCAAATCATTCATGAGTGAACCCGCTGGTATAGGCACACCTACGCTTTATTGTTATTATTGTTTGGGGTTTTTTTTATTCTTATATTATTATTAGTTTACTCTAAATGTAAACTTAATTATTGAATAATTTTAATATGCATACAATCGAAAGTAACACAAGTAATGATAATCTCGCTCATTTACCTTAAACTCAGACGAGGCAGTAAATTTTGAATTCTAAAAGAAATGCATTAACTCCTTTTCACAAAATTGTTGAAGATCAATTTTAAACACTTCTTCAATGTCCGATTCTGATAAATATATATAGCTTCGATCGGATATATTAATCGCACATCAAGGTATATATCGATGGTGTCCAATTGACCATAATGTTTAAAATTCTACGTGAATTGCCATCCAGGACAGGGTTACATCATTTTTGTGGGAAAGGGTGGGGAGGGTATAGAACAATCACAGTTTTAGGGAATTTTCGAGTCGACTTTGATTCCCGTTTTGGCCGAGAAAGTTCCCTGTGATTTCCCAGCGTTGGTTATCATTATCATTGGTTCAAGATGAAATTAAACCCTACTTTATTTCATTGTGACTTTGTTCACATGATTTTTATTAAATTAATGTGCTGTAACGTGACCATATCCTTCCAGCTGTTTTATTATATTATATATCGATATATATATATCAGACTTTTTTACCAACGTTTTTTATCTATGTTTTATGTAATCACGGAAATAATAAAACCGTTAAAATATTTGGTAAGTTTGAAATTTACCTCCCTTGAATTAAGTTAACTGAGTCAAAAAAGCAAATTCAGGAGAATGATGTAACTACAAAATCGTGAAGTACCCTCTGTAGGTAGCGACCGCAGCCGACAGGGCAGCTAACCTGATCTGATTAAAACAAATTAGAGAGCAGTTATTTTTTAACAGGGCTACGCCGTTTAAAACCACTAATTGTCATAGTTTGTTAATATATTCAGTTTGACATACGGGTCCTGTCTGAGAGAACTGAAGCTTATGCGGTCAAAAAGTTTATAAAGCCCTAGCCATTACAGATCCATCGCCAAATACACAACATGTCCGGGTATATCAGAGACCAGATATTCAGTTGATGGTCACCCAAGCTATCGATAATAGAATGGCAAGCTGCGAGAATGAATTCAAGGAGCATTGATTTTTTTATGCTTTTATAATTTTTCTAATTGCACCTTATATATATCTTCGCTTGGATTGGTTAACGGCCGTAGCCATATGGCTCTCCAATATTTTAAAATCGACCCAGGAATCGTAGGACTGTTCAGTATAAATCTACATAAGACGCATCATAAACACGGACTGTTTTCTGGCAAATATATATGCCGAGATTGTTGAAGTTGGATTAAATGGGGTATTGATTAAATTCGATCGTTATTTAGCTTTATTTGAACATCTGGTTCTCCTTATATCTCACATTTCTTGTTGACAATATACAAGGATATATAAACACAATTATTACATAGTCATATATTTTCAATTGACAACATGGAGAAAAATGAAAAGGTAATGTACAAATTAGACTCATAAGAATAATTGATTTTTGTATTCATGATTTTATATAGAATGTGAACACCAGTAAAAATTTCAGGAAATATAATATGTATATTGGAAACCGGTAAATCATAAATCATTATTATAAATTATGATTCCGATCTGTTTTGGTTGAAATTTCTTGTTTATGTTTCCACAGGTGACAGCTTTTAGTTTTATCTTCGTAAACAAAGATATAAAAAGTGCTATAAAGAAATATTAACACATACTTCCTCTTTGTTGTTTTGATTGATTAACGAGTTGAATAACAAGAACTGTATATTATTCAGGGTATCTCACTATCTGAAGTTATTTGTTATTAAACATTTCTGTCGATCTACTGACTGTTTAGAGTAAAGAGTTATCAATCTGTTTCTTTGTAAAGAATTAAGAATTTATGTGTATTTACTTTTTTTTATATTTTACGTGAAACTACAAAAGCATTCCATAACCTTCATTATGATGGTTTGCTCATAAAATATTTGAGCTTCATTTGCCTTCGTTCATTGGTTTACAGAGTTTCCAGTCTGTCTTTTTGTAAAGAATTGGGCATTTATCTAGATTAACTTTTTGCCATCTTTTAGTTGAAACTCCAAACAAACATCCCATAACCTCCATTATGGTGGTTTGCCAATAAAATATTTAGTCTTCATTTCCTTTCGTTGATTTTAAATATTACCAGTACTTTTAATATTATGCATGGTATGGCTTTGTTGTGTTTTGGGGTACGTGTGGGAAGTTTATGTGGTCCTCGGTAAACCGCTTCATAGCTGGCGTTACAAAGGTTCGCCCATAACCAATTTAAATTTCCCTCCCCTGTTTTTCTGTTATTCATGGTCAAAACAATCACCGACAACCACCTTGCAATGTGTAAGTTATACGATCTTTAGAATTGGAATGCCATTAATTATTAAATAAAGAATCTAAGCTATTAGACACGCTTATATAGGTTTGTTGAGAGCAAAACCACGGAGGCGTTATTCCAAAATCAATGTGTGGCGGATACAATTGTTTAATTTATTCTTAAATTTTTATCAAGAACAAGGACAGCCTCGCTACATCATTTGGTGGTGTTTTAAGTTATTCAGCGGCCCAAATACTGTATGTCCTGTTTTATAATCAGTATTTTGTTTATTTTCAGGCGAACGTGATGCCAGGCAATACTATGATAGAGGATCCTGGAATCCCGCTGGTCGGTCGAAGGAATGGAAAGTTTTCCAAATATGTCGAAGATGACAGTCTTAGCCAATCTTCAAGTCTTGGTGCAATCTCTCCTACTAAAAGACGATTTGATAATATTAGCTTCAAACTCAGTTACAGGAAAAAACTTCTTAATCGTCGACGAATGATAGTAAATATAGAATTTACCTTGGCTATGCTGGGAATATTGCTTATGCTGATTGAAACCGAATGCTTTATTGGAATTAAGGGCTACACGAAATCCTCGGCTGCATCAGTCATAATCAAGTCTTTTATCTCGGTTTCAACTTTCTTCTTGCTTATGGCGATTCTTTCTTACCATATTACCGGTATACAGATACATATGACGGACAACAGTCTAGAAGACTGGAGATTAGCTGTTACTCCATGGACATATTTCAAAGTTCTAATAGAACTGTTTATATGTGTTATACATCCGCTTCCGGGAGATCTAAGCTTTCTGTATCATCCAAAGGGAGTACCTACTCCTAGGATGGTATCTATAGATTCCATATTATCGGTACTGATGTTGTTACGGCTGTATCTCGTGGGGAAGTTTATGGTGATTCATAGTCGTCTATTGACCGATACCTCCACGCAAAGCCTTGGAGCCTTAAACAAAGTAAAAATAAACACTATTTTTGTATTTAAGGCCCTCATGTCTGAAAAGCCTGGTACCATGTTGGTGGGTCTAATGGCTGCAATTTTCATTACTAACAGTTGGGCAATGCGCACTTGTGAGGTGTATTATCATCCAGATCATGAACACAGTGACTTTAACAATGCAATGTGGTTAATAGCCATTACATTTCTTACTATTGGCTACGGTGATATTACACCAAATAGTGAATGTGGTAGGTTTATTGCCGTTGAAACAGGGCTGATGGGCGTTGGCATCACAGCACTCTTGGTAGCGGTTCTTGCTCAAAAATTGGAACAAACTCGATCGGAAAAATATGTGCATAATTTTGTCTCTCGGATACAACTTGATAAAATTCAGAAACACGCAGCAGCCAATGTCATAAAACAGGTCCTTATTTTGTGGAAAATGAAGAAGAGGGGAATAATGGACGGTCCGAAAAGAATACGCGTTTATGGAAAAATGTTGCAAGCTATTCGGGAAATGCGAGCAGCAAAGAATGAAAAGGTTTCAATCGGTGAAACATCCCTAGGGATAATTGAGATAGCCAAGTCTGTTAATGATGTATTTGATTTATCTGAAAGTATGGAAAGTGAACAAAAACAACTGAAGACTAAGATGGAAGCATTAGAAACTAAAATGAGTACCATTGATGGAAAATTAAACACTATTCTAAATGCTGTTAGCAGCAGACGATAGTATGGGTACCTATATTACTTTGGAGGATTGGGATTTTTAATGTATATAAACTGTTTATAGGAAGAAGGTGAATCATAATTTAAGGTCTATAGATATTGTACATAATAGATAGATACGTCACATGTCGCGTCACATTATAACAGGTCACATACCATCAATAAATTATAATAGTTTACAATATACTCGCAGATAGTTAAGATAATTAGATAGTTGTTATACGTTTTCAAGAATAATATATACTTCATTTCTACTGAAAATTTAATTTGGACCAGAGAGTCTTTTTATCGATACGTTTTGTGCCATTAACATCTGCAGTGGAGTCATTGTTGTGAAGTATCGACACCAGTCTAAATACTGTTAGTGTCCCCGTCGTAAAGATTCCGGCAGGATATTGTCATGTTTTGAACTTGATTAAAGAGACAATAGTACTTTAGAGATCTTCAACTGCTGTGTTCGGTTTGTCATGATTTTACTGTACAGTTCGGGTTGAGTTACATGAAAATTTGAGAGATCTGTCAATCAGTTTCCATGCGGGTTGGCCAAAAGCCCCTTAATTGCACACTTTTAAGTACTTAGTTAATCATGACTATGCTTGGGGAAGTATTAAGTCACGGTGAAATTTCATGAAAGTATTAAACAATCCCGTTAAATAAATCTAACGACCATTTTCGAACACCTCAGTATTTTGAGTTGAAATTGTGAGACACGGTAAATAGTCGTATGATTTACATATTCCAACCATTTTATTTTACGACCGGTGCTCAGTTTAATCTGGCATTGCCATTTTAATAGCAACTTAGTGTAGCCTACATGTTGCTACCATTCATTGTTAAAATAGATTATGGGAGATTAGATAAAGAGTTGACAGTTTTCACTATAATAGATAAAAACTAGATGACGTAAAGGGAATTTGCTGAATATTCCAGTCAAATTGATCCACTCTGAACCGAGAATTTAGCGATTGAATTTTCGGCCTAGCCTCGATCATCATTACTAAAGTAGGTACAATTTTAAAAAAAATATAGCCTCGATTATCCAATACATGATTTAATCATGAATGAAAGTTGAGCAGCAAATCGGATCCTAATCCAGTAAATATCACAGGCTAGCAATGGCATCGAGAGTTGATTATGGTATGGATAAGTTAAAGTAGCTAAGTATCATTCAAAGTCTTCGACATTGAAAACACGAATTATTTGTCAATTTATATTATTTACCGGGAAGAGATGGGCTTCTGATATCTAATATTAAGACAAAATAAACATTTTATCATTATGCCTTTCCACACCATTTGTAACAAAAGAACTGGAAGAACGAGGCTAGACATATTCCACAAATCATGTCAAACGGTGACGTCATATTCTTATCTGGAGAGTATGTGCATTTAATACGATCGGTGTAGACTGGAATAACCAGACGCTAGAGATTGCCATTCGATTGAGACTTCTGGCGTATTTCGCCGAACATAACTGATTGAAAAATTACAGAAAAAACGTAAACGATTGAATGTAAATCAGGTTATATACATTCACATTACATTATTATATGCGTTGCGCCTCATTTGTGTCAATTTCTAGGTCCCAACTATTAGCGATTTAGCTCCTTAATGGCTAATTAATAATTTAGATAGCATTTCAGGCCTAAAGAAAGGCCTGCAATAGGCAGATTTAGCTCTTGCATAATGTATGTTTAATCTCGGGATAAGGTTTTATGTGGTGAAGCTTTTAAAAAATGTTGGCTTTGGGTAATTAAAAAATTACGTAACAAAAACACAAAGATTATACAAGTGCAATTTAATTTATGCTTAAAGAAATCGGGAAACAAGTGGATATGGCAATTTCAGCATATGAGTAATGTTGAGGTCAAGGATTTACTTTTATTTTTCAAATTCATTCAATTTCTATACTACGGCTTATGTCGAGCCATTGTTTGTAAGAAATCAATAAGTAATATCTTACACATTTTCCTACAGCTGTACATATTGTTAACATTGATTTACATACCTTTACCTTACACAAAATATAAACATTGTATTATTCAAACTACTTTTTATATTTAAATCTAGCGATCTAAAAACAAAATGCAGTATATTTAAAAAGATTAATTGAAAGTAACCCTGCCTTTTTTGCATTGTGTGTTGATTTGTCTGTATCAAAGTCAGTGCAAGTTGACATATCTAACAAATCTTTCTTGTGCTGTTGTATTTGAAACATTTAGCTTGTGACTGCTGGTAGCTTTTGGTCCCGATGCCATCTTCGACCCAGTTGCTCCTGCTTTTGAAACCTTTGACAAATGGTGGTTCTCGAACAATCCCTAGCACACTCACTGAATACACATCTCAAATTTTTTTAAGGTTTCGGTTACTGTCCAGTGTCTTACACCCTTTACCCAATCTTAGTTGAAGCAGGGGCGCCGGAACGGCGCGAGGGCCAGGGTACCAAAAGATAGGGGCGTGGTCTAGGCGGGTTCTCTCCCCCCGCCTCTAGAAACTTTTGAAATTTGTCAATTCCGAGAACGCTGTTTAGAGCGCCTCTAGCATTCCAAATTCCAACACAAAACCCTTTAAAATACAGACAACTGACCAAGGCATGCACTGATAGCTGGTAATGAGAGTGCGAGAGCCGGTTCGATTTAAAAATGAATAGACTAGTAAAAAGGTTGAAAACTTTCATCATTAGGGTATGGGTATACATGTATACGCCAGAAAAGGGCAGGGTACCCTGGTACCCGGGTTCTGACGCCCCTGAGTTGAAGGGAAAATCAATTTTTCTGCAAGACCTTGTTGTTGTTCTTGTTTATTACAATTTTAGTGTCAAATACATTATTTATGATATATAGAGAATCTCCTACCAGTCTTTTTTGATATCAAAAAATATCAACACAAGTTGATAAAGTAACAAAAAATGAGGCTCTGCCGAGTTTTTTTTTACTTTATCAACGAGTGTTGATATTTTTTGATATCAAAAAAGACGAGTAGGAGATTTTATTTATCACCCATTCCCTTCTTACATGCACAAATAGATAAATATAATTATTTGCTATAGATTTCACTTTTACTGAACATTACGGCGTAGTGATACATCATTTTTGACAGCAATTCAACCATTGCAAAGTCCTTTATATTGGCCCAGTGTTTCCATCAAGGTCAATTGAATAATAATAGTTCATTTTTGAAAAAAAAAGTTACTTTTAATAAGAAATGAACTGTTCTTTGAAAATAAAAAAAAAGTAGTTCCATTTCAACTGACCGATCAAATTCATGTAAAGCGGTGATAATATGGATATATGTAGGGCCTGCCATCGATTGCTTTTTCTTACCGCAAATTTAGTAAGTATTCAAGAATCAATGAGTCGACAAGTCAACTTAAAGGGACAATAACACTCTTGCTGGCTTGAAAGCTCCAGAAAATAAATAATATCTCTATCTAAGTACTAGATGTTTAAGTGTCCTACCTGTTGTGTAAATTATCTATTACATCCTATTTTACTTGTCCAGAGGGTTCGAAAATATTTTCAAATCGAAGTTTCATTTGAAAGGTTTACGTTAGACGTTTCAAACCATTATGTTGAATTTTTCAAAATTTTTAAATAAGGTGTGTTAAGATGAAATTTGTATCATCAATTAATTGAAATATTCTAAAATAGTACAATTTGTTGACCAGAATAAAGATTGGGACATATTATTCAGTTACAACAAGAGTGGTATTGAGCCTTTAAAGTCAAGTTTTGAAATTAAAGTCAAGCTTTGAAATTAATTTTAAGTATAATTCGTATATATCCACAATATCCACATGTGGGTTTAACGCTCAACAGACACAAACTAACATATAGGACTAACATGTACAATTCTATTTCAACAATCTGCTTGCGCGTTATAGTCTTCAGCAGTGGATTAGGAACCGGTGATTTAAGAGAAAACCCACGCGGTTGGGCAGGCAAAACTTATCCCTGTCACGCGAAAGATTGGGGTTGAAACCACGCCACTTGACTTAATGACAGTGCAAGCGATAGACTTCTCCCCCTCCCACACACACTCGCATCGACCAACACATATTAAAACATTTAACTAGTTCGCCAATACAGACTAATTTCGATTTAAAAAAACAACAACAATACACTTCGCAAATCAGTAATGATATGGGTTATGGGCCAACCGGCGACCGATTTATTAAACATAAGAAAAATTAAATTACTGCTTTCTTAAAATTGTTTTCTGGAATATTGTTCAACGATTTTAATACACGTATTGAATATTTCTGGTTTTGCGAAGATAGTATATTAGGCGGGGAATGAGCTGAGATACAATATTTTATACAATTACTGGATAAAATTATACTAGATATTTTATCACAAGAAGACGGATTGGGTTGAAGTGTGACCATTGTCCAAATTTGGATGACCTGTTGGGCGTGCTATCTATCTACAGGTCAGGGTAATATCCAATTACCGAGATGACACTGTGTTAGCTTGTGTTGGTTATGACACTGTGTTAGCTTGTGTTGGTTATGACAGATGTCTGGTTTCATTCTGTTAACGCCGTGCAATTTTAGCTATCGCTTAAACTGAATGAAAATCATGTCCTATAAATGGAACAGATAACGGACATGGTGTTGAGTTCATTACTCTGGTGTTGAGTTCACTACAACAAATCTTAATATATTCTCAGATAATCGTTAAATTGATTTTTAATGAAGACGTGTAAAACACAACATTGTTAGTGCTTTTAACCATTAATTTCTCTATTTGCAATGTCTTCTAAAAGAATCTAATATTAGACTGTCTTGAGGGTATCATTCATTGCGACCAGACATGCTATGTTTATATCAACATCAATTTAGCATTCATTCGTGCACAGGATTTTGTCTATACTTTTTTTTGTGTCGCCCCATTCCCCACTGTGCGATATTCTTTTGGTTTTAATATATTTTCGACTAATAAAACTTTCCGTGGGCTATAGTTTACTGCAGAGTGCTGAAATTCTACTACTATGCCAGGCTGTCAAATTTTGACATGGCGAAGTGTCTTTGTCTTTCACGGTTTAGGGGTAGAACATAACGAAACGAAGACGAAAGTAAAGTTTCGTTTTCAGTTTCATTTTTAATGAGCGGATACAGTCAGCTTTCAAAGGGAACGGCGGTGGGGCGGAGCCCCATGGCGCGAAGGCCCGAGCAGTTGGCTTATGGTTTTTAATTCGCCAATTTTTCAACAAAAAAAGGACTATTATAGAATCCGATTCTGACCCTTTCCACGCCACTAGGTAACCACATTCAGAAAAGTCACTGGTGTTCTACTTTACGATCAAGTAACGTACTTTTTTAATTAATTTATACCAACAAGTGTCCCAGCTGGCACCCTTCCCCGTCACGGATCCAGATTGTAGAAATTTCTGCATTTAAATAGCCCACCGCAATTCAGTTAAAATCGTGCTTATAGACAGCATTTGATTTTCCCAGCATTTGTAATATATCTGTTAATACCTATCGAATGATGATAGAAAGATAAGACAGCTATACGTGACACAAGCAACATTATGTTGTGGGTTTAGTAAGGATGAGCAATATCGGCGGTCTGCGCTATTCGATTTCCAGTAAAACAATACTTTAAAGACTAATCACCGTTTTCCATAATGATAAATTACCTTGTCACTCATCGATAGTTGGTAATCTGATTGAGTAAGTATATAACCCGATCACTCGAGTCCCATGTGCAAGGAACCAGGGCCTGCGACAGAGCTCTCAATGCCCTGAAACAACCAACTCGGAAATTTTTGAAAGATACATGGTCTCTAGCGTCATTTTGGCGTGTATTTGTGGTAACCAGATGACACTTTGCTAAAATACCAAAAGTGAGATTTTAACACGACGTCATGTCATACCAAATACATTTACTTCGTTTTAGTTACACTGATGTAATAATAAACAGGACCTTTTGAGCAAGCAAACAAATAGGAAAACAAAAACTGTGACTTTTCCCCAAAATATGAAAAATAAAATGTTTTCATCACATAAACTATTCGTTTATTTTTTTTTTCAATACCTTAAATCATGTTGAACTGAATTCAAATGGAAGGGGGTCCGGATACCCCGACGGCGACGAGAGCCACACGTGGAACGAGTGCGGGCAAAGACCCGGGCAGGTGGCTTGGCTTATAGCTGTTAATTCACCAATTTTCCAAACAAGGTGGACTGACAGAATCTGATTCTAATTCTACCCACTCCGCTATAAGGTACTCACATTCAGAAATGTTGCCGGTTTTCTTCTACTTTATGACCATCTGCATTGTTTGTTGTTTTTTTTATTAATTTATACCAGCAAATCTTTTTTTTCTTAAAAAAAAAACATTACTCGGCATACCTTCGGGCTCCTCTAGGCTCCGGGCACCGGGACAAGTGTCCCAGTTTCCCCCGCCCTTCTCACTGGCCCTGCACAAGGAACCAGACCACACCGGGAAGCGAAGTAAGGCGCAACACCGGAATAGGCGACAATGAAATATTAAGTAAAATCTGGCTGGCGTACCCAGTCCTAAATTTGCCTACAAAACTTCCAACAAATAAAATCTTAAAATTACTTAGTTGTAGGGATGTATCTAGAGGATACACCATAGTCCCGATATGACTTAGTGTTGAGTAGACGTTAATTCTCGCATATTCTCTTATTTTTACAGATTAGTAGAAAGCTATTTGAAGCATAAATCCGATTATATGACAACAGATCCTGTAGTTATTTACATTACTTGTATTTTTGACTCCTACCATGTTATTGTATAATAAGCAAGCGGAAAGGCACTTCAAAGTGGCCTTTTGGATTGTGATATCGACGCATATATGACAATGGAGGGCCGACCCCCACCCAAATAAATTAGATAGAATTAAGTAACCTCGTTAAGGCGATTTTGAGTTAAATCCAGTTCTACTTCACCCACAGTGTACACTTAATCCACGCATTGTTTTTAAAAAATAAACTGTATCGTACATGTGCTCATCTAATCAGTATTATAATGATAAATGTGGATTATATATACGTATGATCAATCAATGCCCTGCTACACCTGATATCATGACAATAAGTTTCAGATAAGGATATGAAATCTCAAAAATCAAGTTGGAATCCTGATGTGACAATTTGTAAAAACCAACTGTTATGGCCATCTACAAACTTATTGAACCTTACATTTCTCAAATTGAAAGTCTGAAAACTTAAAGTGATTGGCTACCAAAACAACGTTTGTTTACAGTAAGTGAGGTTATTGAGATATAAACAATGGACATTATTTAGAAAACATGCATGCACCGGCGTCTAATTTTGTAAGATTGAAAAAGCTGATTAAAGACGCCAACCTATTCTGGCTTTCCTAGATTTATTACCGCCTCTATATAAAACAAGTTTTAAATGTGAAAAAAATAGGTTGGATACATTTAGAAATCGTTTGTGGACGTAAGTACAATGATGATAAATATGATCATTTAAAATCTGGCCCTGGTCATTACAGACTATGATTTGGTCAGCCTTTTACTGAGCGGAATAAAAATTAATAATCGCCAGCTGAATAAAGACTTTCCTGGCACGGGCACATCGCCAACTAACACACACCTATCTAAATTACTATTTAGAAAGAGAATTATCCCTCTTCAGTGAATATAGAAAACCTGGCATGGGGTACCACCATGCTGATCACAAAATGCACCTGAGCCTTCATGATTGTCAAACACCTGCGACATTTATTTCCCGTGATTGACATGTGTATATTATACCTTGGTTGTGTTAAAATCAGTTCTTTGTTATAATAGGAAATATATTGAGATATGAGAATATTTTTCCATTTTTATAAATAAGCTTTTTGTAGTCAACCCAGATTTATATTCACAGACTTAAGGTTGTGCAAAATTAGGGTAAAGAAAAATTAACACCCTCGATAAACTCTTTAGCGTTGAAGGTTAGAAAAACTTGGATACAAGATGGCAGCTTCCATGCGAAGATTTAGTCGAAACTTTTCCAACCTATGCTTTAAAGATTTACAGTATTTTAGAAAAGGACATTATTTATCAGAAAACTTCAGAAAGGTATTTATACTCAAATATTTTACTCTGTAAGTGTGGACCGATCAGCTGGCAGCAAAAAATTGATAAGATACAAGAACCAGACATACATGTAAGATAGAGTGGCCCACAGACTCAATTATCTGTAGTATATAAACTGACCTGTTTTAACAGCATGTTGTCACGCGGATCAAAACTTCGTTTATGAGAAAAGTGCTCTCACGGGCTTGCTCGTGCACTGTAAGCAGCAAACAGTCGCCCAAGATAGACATTCACGTGACAATATTCATTCACTTATTTATCAATGAAGCCATGTAAAAAATTACGAACTAGATTAAAATTTTGGCTAAAACTCCGCGATTTAATTTCTAAGTTAGTTGATTGTAACCAATGACGTATATATTGTAACGGTTCTCGGTTCAGAGTCAACTCATGTAGTTTCGCCCTTTTTCTATCTTTTAAATCCACTCTCGTGGCAACATACCGACACAGCAAGACTGTGAAAGTTACTTTTATTTAACCGTAAAACTCTGTTGTTAGTGGGCGCTTTAGTTACTTTAGAAGTTACATTGTTGCTAGCTCTAAATACGCAGAAAAAATCTGATACTGGAAATTAATGGAACGAAATTATTTTCCCTAGTCTCAATTAACCAGACGTGTATGATTAAAATAAAATTACGGTACTGGTCACAAGACTCGGATTCTAATCATTTTAGGGCGCTGCGATATATATTTAAACTTAAATTTCTCTAACATTTCACTAAAAGATCTCTATTGTAGAACTCCCAACTTATTATGTAGTCATTGTCATGCCGGTTGTTTTTAATAACAGAATTTTCCAGTCATCATATAACAGATCAAAGAATTTTTCGAGACGCATTGTCACGTATCGACTTCTATTTTTGGATTATCTGGCGCCACAAATAGCCCAATCATATCAAAAAGCATGCAGTTCCACCTTGAAATGGGTTCAATTGATTTACGGTTTATTCTATAATTTATAACACAGTTTAGAGCATAGTGTGTAGGAGTTGCATTTTTGACTTCTAAGTAGATTCTTATACAGAATTCCGGATGCAATGGTAGACATTTGGACCACTGCTGCCGAACCGATTTGAAAATGCTTAAGGCTTTTTTTCTTTGTGCATGTCGTGTGCTTCTCTGTTTTTGATGTGTATGATTTTTATATTTATGATAATTATTTGAAACAAAATAGGATTATCATAAAGGATATTAAACATCTACAATATGAGTATGGTAAGCATTCTCTACATACTGCGTTTGTAAACCACGAAATTCACCCCTTATTAGAAAGTTTTAACTATAGTCTATTGCATGTAAACGTTAAAAAAATAAATCGTTAATTGTACGTACGTAAAAAAACGAAGAAAGCCGACTGCGGAAATTAAGAATTCGTTTTCCAGAGCAAAATTTGAAACTTTGATGTGACCAAGAAACATAATTCTTTTTAATGAAAAAATCTACCGCCGTAACGCTACTTGGGCGATCAACTTTTCCATATAATTAGAAAGTCCCATTTAAATGGCCAAATCATACAAATATCCAACTTAACAATAGTTTAATTGTTAATGAATGATGATTTAAATGGTAATTCTTATCATATTTGTTAAAATAAGCCCCAAATATAGCTGGTTTATTGGATTTTTGTTATTTGCACGAACCACTCTACATAAGATAAGTAGCCGATAGTAGCAATGCAAAAGCTTTTTTTATATTTTTCTATCTGACTAAAACTGAATATTTACTAGCATTCCAACCCCCTTCCCATTTAAGAAATCCCCCAAAATTTAAAAATCGGTTAACAAATAAAAAAGATATTGCACTTTTAAGACCCCAAATTTATGGATGTCAGTATACACTTTTTTAAAAAAATGCCAAAAAAGCGACCGAACGAAGACCATTTCTCAGCAACTTTTGGAGATATTGGCATCAAATTTTCATGAAATATCCTTCCAACCATTAACTATCTATTGGAATTTTTGAATTTGGGCTATATAATTTATTTGGTTTGATATTGGGTCTGCAACATGGATAAAAAAAACCCAAATTACGGGTATTGCTTTATTCTGGTAGAATTAATCCTTATAACAACTTCCTACACTGCTCCTCGATTTGTAGGTATCTAGGGATTGTTTTTCATTCAACTTATCATTGTCAGGTTCTCTGATCCGCAAAACAAAGTGAATTCTAGGGATGGAACACTGGACATCCTATACTCATCTAGCCCATTCTCTTTTCTGGCAACAGGGAGCCACGGTAGCTCAGTGGGTAGGACGTTGGCTCACTCAACTGGATGTGCCATGTTCAATTCCCGCATTGGCCGAGCAAATTCATTGTGTTATACACACCAGCCTCCCCCCGGATGTACGAGGGGAGGCCTAGCAAGTTACAACATAGTCATTTGGATAGAATGGAAAACTCATGTCCTGTGTGTGCATAAAAGAACCCTAGACAGTTGGAATTCAAAATAAAAGAGTAGGCTCTGCACTAGGCTGTTGGACGGCTGTTTTGCAAAGTTTCCTCTCATAGCACACTGCAATGGCGTGTTCCCCTCACTCACGTCCCCACCGTCTTCATTAGCCCAGTAGGAGTAGAACATTAAACTCCATTTCATTTTCTTGTAACAGATTCCATATGTCTGTCATTTGATCACCAACAAAATAGAAAGTAATCCAAGAAATAATTTAAAAAAAAAAAATAATTTTAGGGAAGTGTTATTAGAATCAATAAAATATTGTAACAATACAAGAGAAAGAATTCAAACCGTGCACCAGACTATATACCCCTAAAAAGTGCACGCAAAAATCGTGCCCCTGAACTAGCCCACTGTTAGCAAAAGGGAAACTTGGTTGAATACGTTCACAATAACAAGAAAGGGGCTGTGGTCTGCCCCCACATCGGGTGGAGTTATCTTTTCTTTTCTTCCACATGATTTGTTTTCCCGAGTTCTGGCACTAGTTCCAATTGTTGATGAATGAAATATAGGTCAATATAACAAGAAAAGGGGTCATTTTATGAGAAAATACGTTTACTTCCAGTGACGAGCATCGTTTTTGCCTTTTTGTATTCATTTATTTTTTCAAAATATAAAAAATCAGTCATAAATACGTTTCTGAATGACCAAAACTCTGTTTTCTCCTCTTCACGAAAAGTAAAAAGTCATCGGTGTTGGTGGTCATACACCTTCCCGAAGTTGCGGAACAAAAACAGCACATTTTGCGGTCAATTTTTTTGACAGTGATAAAAACAGTATCGGTGGCGCCCCTAGCGAGCTTTTGCATTGCTACCGATAGTAATCCAACAAGTTAGATGTTACTCTTTGATATTCTGAGGACGTAACATCTAACATCCGAACGGTCAAAAGCTTGTCGCAAAAGTTGATAACTAGTTTACTTCTTTCAGCGGACGGCAAAATTCATAATTTTCAATTATCTGCACTGCTAACACATTGAACTTACATATGATATTCATGTAGGTTCCGAAAAAAAAATTTTGCTGTCTTTTTTAAGAGATTTCACAAAAATCTTCGCCTACAAGCAACAAAACACAGTGAAACAGGAAATGACCTACAATGGCGAAAGTTGAAATCTGTCATGGTGCACATTACGAACGGAATTCTTTAAACGAAATAAAATCATGAGACTATAATTTGAAGGCGATCATTTTAAATTTATTTTTAGTGATGGTCCGATTATCGGTTTCACTATTCAGTAGCCTAATTGGCCGATGAGTGGCCTATCAGAAGAAATTTTACCGATATTTGCGTAGCCGATATCTGTTCAAAATGACTCGGCAGCCAATAAATCTTTTCATAAAATATTATTCAAATTGTGAACAAAGCATTCTCTCTAGTCTCTTACTTAAAATGACACATGACCCTTTTATTTTAGTTGCCGTGTGTGTGATACAAGACTCAATGCTTTATTATAGATATTTTCAACTTATAGATAGAAAAAGCGGGAAAATTTCACGTGACATTGACAAGACAGAAGCTATCATAATCAACTGGTAGCGATGAAACATTCTACGAACGCCGACAAATTTAAGGATTTATATTGTAATCAACATTTACTAACATTTTATAAATGATAATCTCAATCATACCGCCTATGCTAGAATTTACCACGGCATAACGGCAAAACTGGTATATCAAGGTTGTTTGTGGACACTCTACAGGTCACAATTTTTATCTGATTTCAATGAAACTTGAAATATAGGTTTATCACCCCAAGATTGCGGTTCTGTTTGATATTGGCATGTATCGGACTGTAACCTCATGGATTATGGCTCCTGATTGTACGAAAAATCACGTTTTTAGCTTGTGAACACTGTAGAGGTCACAATTTTTATCAGATTTGGTTTAAACTTGAAATGTATCTTTATAACCCACAGATCTCAGTTCCTTTCGATATTCGTGCATATCGGATCATAACTTCCTGAATTACGGCCCCTGAAAAATCGCATTTTTAGCTTGTGGACCCTATAGAGGTCACAATTTTTATCCGATTAAAAAAACATTTGAATATATCACCGTTACACTCAAGGATGACTGAGTTCGAATTTCGTAAAAATCGGACCAAACTGACGGACAAAATGGCCACCCCTCGTTCGCAAATAGTGTCAAAATATTGTTTATCAGGGTTGTGGATCCTCTGGAGGTCACAATTTTCATCTGATTTTGATGAAACTTGAAATGCATGTTTATAACCCAAATATCTTGGTTCCTTTCGATTTTCGTAAATATTGAATCGTAACTTCCTGAATTATGGCCCCTGATTGTACGAAAAATCGTGTTTTTAGCTTGTGGTCCCTCTAGAGGTCACAATTATTATGCGATTTAAAAAAACATTTGAATATATCACCGTTGCACCGTAATGTTGTCTGAGTTTGAATTTTATTAAAATTGGACCAAAACTACTACGGACAAAATGGCCGCCCCTCGTATGCAAATACATGTAGTGTAAACATCTGGTATATCAAAGTTGGGAACCCTCTAGAGGTCACAATTTTGAACTGATTTTGATGAAACTTGAAATGCAAGTTTATAACCCAAAGATGTCAGTTCCTTTCAATATTCGCGCATATCGTGTCGTAACTTCCTGAATTATGACCTCTGAGTACGAAAAATCACGTTTTTAACTTGTGGTCCCTCTAGAGGTCACAATTATTATCCGATTTAAAAAAAACATTCGAATATATCACCATTACACCATAATGTTTGTTGAGTTAGAATTCCGTGAAAATGGAGTCAAAACTGCCTGACAAATTGGCCGCCCCTCGTACGCAAATAGTGTAAACATCTGGTAAATCAATGTTCTGAACCCTCTAGGGGTCACAATTTTGATCCGATTTCGATGAAACTTGAAATGCATGTTCATAACCCAAAGATGTTGGTTCCATTCGATATTCATGCATATCGGATCGTAACTTGCTGAATTATTGCCCTTAATTGAACAAAAAAAATCACGTTTTTAGCTTGTGGTGCCTGTAGAGGTCACAATTTTTATCCGATTTAATAAAAAAAAACGTGTGAATATATCACCATTACACACTAAGATCTTGGTTCCTTTTGATAATTGCGGATACCCGAACTTAACTGGCCCCTGATTGTTCGAAAAATCACATTTTTAGCTTGCGGATTCTCTAGAGGTCACAATTTTTTTACGATTTTAAAAACCGTTTAAATACATCACCATTACACCATAATTAAGGTTAAATTCGAATTTCGGGAAAATCGAAATGGAACTGCCCAACAAAATGGCTGCTCTTTGTACACAAATTGTGTAGAAGTGTGTAATACGAAGGTTGTGGACCCTCTAGAGATCACAATTTTTATCCGATTCAGTCCCTTTTGATATTCGCACATTTCAGGCCATAACTTTCTGGATTATTGCCCCTGATTGTTTGTTTTTAGCTTGTTCTCTATCCATCTCTGGCAAATTGTGGGCGTATCCTGCCTGGCAGTTGCTCGTTATGATTGTGAAAGCCTAAATGTCTTTTACGAGAGTCGGAGTACTCGAATCAACACACAGCCGCCATTATCAATGATTGTCAACTCACTTTTTTTCTCATCCACCAAAGAACCGTAAAGTTTCTTTGCACATAATACAATAAGAGCGGTATTATTGGTTAATCAGCTTTAATTATCCCACTTTGATCGTTGCCATTTCCGAAAAGAGTTTTCTTTGTATGCACTTATTTATCGATTGGTACTGCTATCTATGGCAAGCTTGTTGAGGAATGCATGTCAACGTGTAGCTTACGGATTATCGTTAAAAAATTTCTAGGGGCTTGTAAAAGCAGTGCATGTCAAGTAAATATTTACTTTTGTTTTTGTGTAGGTCATTTTGAAATAAATACTTTTTAAAGATATATATCACTTTTACGGGAAACTATGATAAAGAACCGTAAGTGCAACTAATGTTTTATCAATTGGTGGAGCCTTTTAATAACCACATGTTTTGTGTTTTGCTTTGGCCTATTCATCAGCTAACTTTTTTATACATAGGTCTGTAAGGTGTGTGATCCACGATTCCACATTCTGTACTTTTACCTGCATATAATTTTGATAAAATCTCTTTTGGCTTATAAATTGATTTGACAGTTGTGTTCAGCCTTTCCTTTCAACTTATTCCTGAGTCTGAAATGTTACCTACCCAAGTCTAAAATTTTGAGGCCATATTTTTTTTGAGTCCGAAATGTTGTAAGTCTGAAATGACGAAGGGCCAAAATGACATGTAATTGTCTGATGGTAGGTGGATATTGTTGATATTCCCTTTTACAAAAGACATTATTTCATGGGCAATTATATCAACACTGGCAATGAAAAACTTCTGAAATGAATTCTTTTAACCCCATCAGGAATATATGTGATATTGGGCGAATCCAAAACCTTCAGATAAATGTATCTGAAATTGTTTAAAGCTAGGTAGGTTTCAGCTGATCAATTGGGTAAATAAATGAATTCTGGGATGTAATTTGTAACTTGGTTATAATTTTTTATTTATTTAATGTAGAATGTTATCAGATTTAGTAGAAGTATCATCAGTAGACAATACAAAGCACCATGGCTGTTCATGTTTCCATTGATACCAACAGTTGAAGCTATTGGATTTGGTTGGAGTAAATCTAAAGATCTAGAAGGTATATAGATTTGTGAGATGTAAGCTTAGCTACAAATTTAAAACAAATTCAAAATAAACTATTCACGTGAAATAATCTTAATAGATTAAGTCCGAAAGAGCAAATAAAATGAGCATACAAAAGTGGAATGTAGTTCAATATATTCATAATTAATTGTGAGAGCTCCACTCAAAAGACGCAAATATAGCCCTACATTAACACAATTAAATCCTGACAGATCCTAATTAAAATTCATAATGAAATAAAACAATAAAGTACAGAATAATTTGTTTTGATATGAAATCAGCGATACAACCTAATATAGCTATTGAATAAGTGGTTTACTTCTAGATCCTAGTTAGGGTCTCACACTGCATAGCTTGTGTGAAACACTATTGTTTTTGTTAAAATTATTCTTATTATTATTATTTTTTTTATACGCCCACATTTTCATGTGGACATATATTTCGAATTTCGTCAAAATCGGCCAAAAACTGACAGACAAAATGGCCATCCCTCGTTCTCAAATAGTGTAAAAATATGGTATATCAAGGTTGTGGACCCTCTAGAGGTCACAATTTTCATCTGATTTTGATGAAACTTGAAATGTAAGTTTATAACCCAAAGATCTCGGTTCCTTTCGATATTCACGCATATTGGAATGTAACTTCCTGGATTATGGCCCCTGATTGTACGAAAAATCGCGTTTTTAGCTTGTGGACCCTATAGAGGTTATAATTTTTATCCGATTTAAAAACCAAGACAGTCACTGCAGCCTTATTACTGTTTCTGGCGTGGTTCACTTTGTCAGTGATGCAGGAAGGAAGGCCTGACAAGGAAAGCTGTCTAGTCATTTGGATGGCATGAAAAAATGAGTTCCTGTGTACACTTTGACAAGCATGTAAAAAATCCCTCGAAACTTTGAATTCAGATTTTTCCTCATACATTTGTAGCACATTGTATGACGTATGCCCGTCTTCATTAGCCCAGTCGCAGCAGAACAATAGGACGTTAAACCCCATTTACTATCATTTTATTTACTGTGCCCTTTTGATCAGAATAAATTCAAGTAAACTAACAATGCACCTGGATTGGCTACAAACACAAAATAGTCTTCTGATTAATACACCAACCATGGGTGTAAAATTGTTATCGAGGCCACTAATATAAACTGCTGCTATGAATAATTACAAAACAAAATGCTTTCAAGTAATAATCATACAGATTAAGATCATCAATTTACCTGTATGTTCTTTTTAGTAGTAGTGTAGTAGTGCTGTTGATCAGCACAGAAATTGTACAGGTCTGCCAAGTTTCATGCTTTTAACACTAAGTGAACAACTTAAAAATGAAATGGGGTTCTACTTCCTACTGTTCTGTCCTGACTGGGCTAATGAAGATGGGCATATGCCATACAGTCTTCTTTGAGGGTAAATTTTGCCTGGGCAGTGGCGCTACAGTCTACTTTTCTATCAAATTCTGTCAGGACCTCTTTTATGTGCACAGTGGCAGTTTTTCGTCACAGCAGAACATCTATACATTTTCCTTTGCAACTTTCTCGGCCAACAGTGGGATCAGACACAGGATCTCCAAGTTAGCAGTCTTACTCACTGCATCAACACAGCTCCCCGAACATATTCACTGAACTATTAATAAATTTATCGAGACAATCTGATAAGATTAGTACATTATTACTATATTATTCATTACATACATGTAGCTTCATCTATTAGAGACTGGGGAAGGGCTAATAAAGGCAGTAATGAGATCTAATTCATATTCTTTAATAATGGATGGTGACATTTGAATAATGCCTGGTATTTTGAGAACTTCAATAAATTATGCAGTAGACAATATGAATCATGGGTACATCAATGGTTAAAGTATAGGTTGTTAATCAGGATTTGAATTACATACTAATACAATCCACTCTTTCAGAAACAATTGATCCCCTGTCTTTCTTCAATCACAAGCATATAATACTCTGTAGTCTGCATGGTATTGCCATATTAGGGTAAGTTTTATTAACATTATTTTTTTTTTCTAGCCGAGAAAAGTAGTAAATTTGAAAGTATTATTAGTACAGCTGATCGTCTGTATGAATCTAATAAAGTTTTAGAACTCTATGACTACTTGGTGCAGTATAAAGATAAAGGGAATGCAGAAGTTCTATGGAGATTAGCTAGAGCAACTTGTGATAAAGGAAAGTTCAGTCGTGACAAGGAGCAACGTAAGCAGTGTATGTTTGAAGCATGTGAATATTCAAAGAAAGCCCTGGCTTTAGATGAAAACAGTTCTCCATGTAATAAGGTGAAATTCATTTAATGAATATTGGCAAATACTTCATAATTTTAACTATGGAAATAATTGCAATGGTTTAATCCTCACTCTATTTAGATCGTTTCCTGTTCTATCTAGTGTTAGATAACAATTTATTCCCTGACGGAATGTGTATAAAACATGATTAGTTAACAGTTGCAACACTAATTACAAATTGTATTACATGTGTCTATATGTTGTATATTTTCCTTGTATTGTGGGAGCCGTGATGGCTTAGTAATTAAGGTCCTGGCTCGCTAAACTGGAGGTCCCAGGGTTTGATCCTGATCTTGGTTTAGGAAGTTCCTCTGAATTTTCCGGTGTGGTTTCCCAATTGTCAGTGGTTGCATAATGGAGGGCAGGCATGTGCAAGAACCTTGACAATTCAAAATAAGAATAGGTTGTAACGCTGCTGCCCAGGCAAAATTTCACTCATATCACACTGAATGGTGTATGCCCGTCTTAATTAGTCTTGTAGGAGCAGAACAGTAGGATTTTAAATCCCATTTAATTTCATTCCTTGTATATAAAACAGGGGTCCCATTTGATTTTACATGATTGCAGTGTATATAGAAAAACACTTAGCAGTTGGAATGAGTGACAGTGTTTGTGGATTGATGATGCTGTAAATGACATGTCTTTATCTCAAAATGATCTAAAAGAGATATTTCACAATTACATGTTAAACTTTGGTTATTTTTTAAAATTTCAGTGGTATGCTATACTGCTAGATTATACAGCAGAATATGAAGGAACAAAAGTTAGAATTTTAAATTCATACAAAGTCAAGGAACACTTTTTGGTAAGAGAAATAACCACTAACAATGTTACTAGACCAGTTCTTTATGCAGTCACCATACAATACTTGGCTATGATTTGTAGCAGATTGATTACCAGATTTGTCATACAGTCCCCCAAGACTACCTTCTATGGTTTCCAAGGAAGGGTCATGACTGTTTACAACAGGTCATGTCACTGGTCATGACTGTCTGCAACTGGTCGAGTAACTATAAATACAGCTTTTGCCAGGTCGGGTTACACACATTGTGAATCAGACGCCATAAGACCTATCCCCTTACATGTTCCTATCAGGATGTCTTTGAAATTCATAACTAATTGCATGACTTGTTACACAGTCAGTCTCGCACAAGTCTGTGATAACACTGTTATAACTAATTGCAACAACATAAGACTTGCATCATGATAATTTTATAGACCTACCTAAGAATAGCTACAATTATGTTGGCTACAGGCAAACCTCCCTACGGTCATGTAACTCCCCAAAATCAGTCAGGACTTTTCAGCCAGGACGTGTGGCAGGACTTTTCTATGATTCCTTGCAACTTCCAGTTGTAGCTGGTCGTAACCTATTGGACTTAAAATCTCAAAGTAGAAAACAGCTTTCTTGAAAGAAGTTGCATAAATTCTGTGCGATCAGATCTTACAGATTATCAGTTAAGGATATCTGTATTCGTACTGTTGAATCTTGCAATTGTATGGTTGGCTATCGCACTGGATCACAACAATGCTGTCCTTTCAAAGTGGGTCATCCTGAACAGTGAATTATAGAACTCTGTTCAGATAAATCCTGTTCTGATAAAATATTTAAAAATAATTTTTGGTTAGTTTAAATTATTTTGATACCTAATAAGTCAATTGCTTAAATGTAAAAGAGTAAATCTGCTACAAAATGCCTTTTGTTGTGTTTCAGAAAGCCATAAAATTAAATCCAAAAGATGCTACATCTATATATTCTTTAGGTTATTGGTAAGTAAATTCTAATAAACATTTACTAAGCAGCAAAAGAAATGTCAGGTTGGTATGTTACTCTGAATAGACGCATTGCATAAAACTTGCCAAATGTTTTTATTGTATATTTGTGACCACATCTCCAACTTTACCTGATCAATAAGGCTCCTTCCCATACACAGAATTGAACCCAGGAAATGTTCTCAAAAACGCAACCTGACTTCTGAGATGGTAATGTGTCCTCCATGATTTTCATGTAACTTATGCTGCACGTGCTGTTCACCAGGACCAGCCCTATAAAATGCACCCCAATACCTGGTTGAATCATTCACACTACAGCGTCAGCAGCATGCCACGACTCACGACAGCCCAGAGGAACCAGGCGCTTGGAAGACTCGACACTAGTCACACTGCCAAGCCGTTGCCAATCCCTTCCAGGTCAATGTTCTGACCATCTACAGGCTTCAGCAACACTTTCGGGCCACCAACACCACGGATGATCACCCCTGAACTGGTAGACCAAGGGTTACCACAAGGCGACAAAACCGCCATGTTGTGCGACAGCACGTGCAGAATCCCTTCACACAGGCATCTTAGACAGCATGCCAGACAGTGGGAACACATGGAAGACCTATCCTTACTGATACAGTGCTTCAACGTCTTACCAGAGAGAACATCCATTGCCGTAGAACTTACCGTGGACTGATCCTCACCCCTCGCCATCAACGTTAACTCTACAGTTTGTCCAACAACACCAGAACTGGCGACACAGGCAATGGAGAATTGTTCTGTTAGCAGATGAGTCGGTATTGCGTATCAACTGCAGATGGCAGGACCAGAATATGGCGTTGACGTGGCCAGCGTTATTCTGACCAGGGGAACGAGACTCATGGGGAGGTCCAAGCATAATGGTTTAGGGCAGAATCGGCCTGAACCAGAGAGTTGGTCCTATGCCATCCCAAAATCTTGGTCCAAGGAGAGGAGGCGGCATCACAGCAGTACGCTACATCAATCAAGCTCTCGGACCCCACGTCATACCACATTTCGCACGTCATCGAAACAATGTTTTCCAGCATGACAACGCAAGTGCCCAGACCGCCAGAGTTACTAGGGACTTTCTACAGAAGAACAGTGTCAACGTTATGCACTGGCCAGCCCATAGTCCGGACTTAAACCCGATTGAACATCTTTGGGATGAAATTCAGAGGAGACGTAATAACGTCGTACCGAGAGCAAACACAGCCGATGGATTGCACCAGGCTTTTCTGAGAGTGTGGTTCCATGTGCCATTGGCGTTCATCAATTGTCTGGTTCACTCCATGTACAGACGCTGCGCTGATGTTATTGACACTCTCGGTGGACACACCAGATACTGGTGAATAAACTGTGTACAGACTCTAAATCTTCTCATAATGACTTGGAATTGTGATGAATTAATCACTAACGTGTCAACATACTGTTCACAAATAATTGCTTTGATAGTGTGACCCACCATAAATAAATATCTCCAAATATCTCGACAATTACGCTAAAATATTTATATATATACCAAGCCTTAAATCAGTTTCACACAATTATAGTCACTAAATAAAGGATCATGTTGTACTTAATAAGCTATGACCATTTAATCATCTATAAATAATAGACTGAAACTAGTTCCAAGTGTTGTCCATAAAATCCAGACAATTTTGAGTAAAAGATAGGTTACGTGCCCTTGTTTTGAAATTAGTCCCTCTAAACCAGTGTACCCACCATTCTAAATCTGATTGACAGGTCGGGATAATCCAGACTACCTTTTTACGAAACATAACAGAAAGCTGGAACAAGAAATTGAATTTAGAAATACGCGCGTTAGCCAACTCAACAATTGTTTTAAGAAACTTGTAAAAGTAAAATGAAACTACTGCTAGTATCATGTTCCTGCTCATGAAAGTGATTCAGAGATATTATTTGTACTAAACGAAAAGATGCCGCTCTTAACAGTGCAGTTAATGATAAAGCAATTTAAAAAATAAAACGAACGTAATTTCTAAAGCTGCTGTAATAACCAAGAAGCTAAATTTTACTGCTATTCAAAATCGTCAATAGATTTTTTACGGCTCTAATAGTTGATAGATTTGTAGAGAATTGCACATGCCATGGCTATTTATAGTCTCATACACTCCACCGCTGACTATTATCATAGTTTAAGACACAACCACTGAAGCGTGCACATTAGCCGTGTTGAGACCAACTTTCTGTAGAGTGCACGGGTCACCCTAGCTTTGATCCATTTATTAAGTCGTTTTCTAGAATGATTTGATTAAAGTGCCTCTCTGATTTTGAAATCGTATTGACTTTTTTTTTGCTGTTTAGTATATAATACACTAAGAAAATTAAAGAATAGTTTTTGCATACATACATGTCTAGTTATTTCAGTAATGTCCTTTACTATAACAATCTTTCCTCATTTTATTTAAATTAGGTGTTTTGTATTTGCTGATCTTCCATGGTATCAACGAAAATTAGCGTCCACTCTCCTAGCTACACCACCTTCCTCTACATATGAAGAGGTAAATGCAAAAACTTTATGTAAAGTTGATTATTTCGTTATTTACATATATCATATTTAGACATTTATATTCTTATGGATGTTACTATGGAATGTACACATCTGCATATTATAGTTGCCTCAACCTTTACATTATTGCTGGTGTTGCTTTTATGATAGTATAATAATTTAACTTGCCATCCAGGACTCTTATCTTGTCTTCTATTGAAATGTGATTGAATTATTCCTAAAAAAGTATTTCTCTTTTGAATTTCAGGCCCTTGAATATTTTCTTCTGGCAGAAAAGGGTGAGTACTCATACAATAATTATGAACTGGACTAATGTTTGCACCAGCATTCTTTTAGTGCACAACATAACAAAATAGTTTTGTTTATTCATATTTTATTTATTTTATCAAAAATCTTTTTATAACTGAATTACAAGCCTCTCTTTATTCTATACAAAGTTTTATATTTAGCACTTTTGTTTCATTTCTTTCATGATAATTAATTTTTTAAATTTTTTATTTAACTTTTGTTTCTTATCATTACAAATCACTTGACTCTGTTTGGGGTTTATTAGTTTTGTTAACACTGAGTTCATCTGATGTTCATATTGGTATGTAGTCATGGTAGGAATTGGTGTCGTGTACAGTTGCTGGTATCTATATTGTGTACATCAAGGATATAAATCTCTGTGTATATTTGGAGTATTGTTATATTTGTGTAAATATTGTATTATGCAAAAAGTGATTAGAGTTATAAAATAAATAACCTAAGTATTAGCCTTGGAGTAGTATGTGTTAAAATCAAACAGACTGAAGTCATCACAGTTATCGTATCAAAAGTCGATGTGCAATTGTCCAAGGATCAAGCATGCCAAGTTTCATGTCAATCGTGGTCAGAAAAACAGTCAATCTTAAAATGTCTTACTTTAAAAACAGGTTTTATTTAATGTGGTTTGATAAATATACCCATCCATGGTAGTCCGGTCGCTTAAGTGAAAAAACGTTTCCTTTTTGACAAAAGCATGAAAATTGGCATACGGTAGTTTTTGATGTTCTCTTACGAATAAGAGTGGGACATATGCGAACTGACCACATTTTTCAGCCGCCATTTTCCGAAATATAAGCTTGGTGTATAAAGAAGATATTTGGGCTTAAGCTTTAGTACTGCAGCAAAAACTTTCAAGCCCGAATAACTGGGGATGGACAACTGAAACAAATATTCTTATCTATACCATACTGGTCATCTCCTTCCGAGGCAGCCATACATTGTAAAGAACTCATCAAATATGGTTGCAAGAATGTCTGCAAGGCACCTTGTAAATGTACAGTAGCTTCATTATCATATACTGAACTTTGTACCAGCGATGAAACTTGTTATCGAACGTGACCAATAAAAGAATGAACATGGTGGGTGAATTTTCAAGTTAGTTGATCCTCCCGTTCAATTTTATTTGCTCCATTTATTCAAGTTTTACAAGCTCATCAAGTTAACTAGTTATCTAGAAATCGTTTATTATCGTTAATATTATAATGAGTTCAATCCGAAAACCGTGTGAATGTTGATTTCAGGCATGGCAATTTTCGGAAGTTCGGAGCATGAAAGTCAAAGATATGTGTTTTTGGTAACTAAACATGACAATATGGTAATGAAAGCACTTCTGGTGAGTGGGTGCTAAAACATAGATTTCGACACTTAGATCAAGTTTCTATCGTATCATGAAGCCAAAATCTCATATTTCGGAAGCAGTCATTTTGAATCCAAAATGGCATCCGAAAATGGGGTGAGATCGCATGTGTCCCACTTTTATTTGAAAGAGAACATCAAAAAATACCCATGCTTTTGTCAAAAAGGAAATGATTCTATTAAATATCGACCTAAGCGACTGGACTATAGTAAATTAGTGTAATAAAGTGAGCAGAATGTAAAATGTGGTTTAATGATGTTATTCTGTTGTGTATTTATGTTGGGGATTTATTCATGCAGCTTGTATATGACGTGTAGTGAATGTTCTGTTTAATGGAACAGAGAAAATAAAATCAATATGTAAAAAGTAATATACATTTATTTTCATACATCATAGGAAAGCAATAAAGTTATACATGTACACATATGATTAAAAATGTTTTTTGTTCAAAACTAACAATTGCTTTTGAAGAATGAAATATTCAAGCAATAATATTTGAATAGTATAGATTTGACATTTTAAATTTATTATCACACCGGTGTTATAAAATTAATTGAAAGCTTGTTCCCTTAAAAACACTAAGGAATGATTCATCAAAAAAACTTTTATAGGTGTCATTTTTTTTGTTTTAGTGGAACCAAATTTCTATAGTATGAATTTATTGATGTTGGGCAAGACGTATGAGAGACTGGGGAATAAAGATGTTGCCAAGGAGTACCTAATAAAAGCACGTGATTATCCAGTACAAACAACAGATGATGAGCAGGTAGTTATAACATGTTTGCTTAGTAACTCGAAGGCAGGACAGAGGGACTGGCAAGGAACATCATCTAATTGTTCAGATGGGATAAAAAAAACAAGGTCCTATGTACACATTGACATGCACGTAAAAGAACCCTTGACAGTTGGAATTCAATTGCTGTCCGGGCGAAATTTCACTCATAGCACACTGTATGGAGTATGGTGCATAAAAATAGCCATTTATCTGCATTTCATTCATTCTTTCATGGAAACTCAATGTGCTAGAAGGCTGGTAGTCAAGTTCATCTTTTAGTGGAACTGGAATTACACAGCACACAATTGTATTGAATACAACTACTGTTCATTACAGAGTGATGTTTCAAGGAGGCTTCTCTAGTGTGTAGAGGACTAGAGAAGCCTAGTTTAAAGGTAACTCAGTATTCAGAAATAAACAATATTTGTATTCCATTGAATTGTGTCCTATGTAGATAGTAATCAGTACAATTACATCAAAAAACCATGGTTAGATGCCATCATAATCTTGATGTTCATGTATAGAAACGAGTAGTAACTAGAACTGCGATGCAGTAATGACGGGTTTCACCGGTGTCACGTTACCCTTGAACTTATATCACTTCCAGTGCCAAGTTACCCTTGAATTCATGTCACTTCCGGTACCAATGAAACCGTAAAACAGATTTCCAAATTAGAATTGCACTCGTGTTATCAAATGGACGCAGAATCAACCAAATACAGCAATATCAATTCCATTTATACATTTTTATACGTCCACATTCATAATGTGGACGTATTATGCAGTCATCTGTGGGTGTGTGTGTGTGTATATACTTATTCCTTATACCCTAAGGATGATCCCTATTGTTTTTGGTGCATGACCGACCCCCAGGGGCAGAACCACCCCATTTTTCGTTTATGTTTGTTTGTCGTCTACAGACCGTATTTCTTAATGTATCATTTTGAAACTTTGCATACTTATTCTTTGTACCCTAAGGAACATCCCTATCGTTTGGGGTGCATGCCCAGCCCCCAGGGGCAGAGCTACATCCATTTTCTGTTTGGGATTTGTATGTTGCCTACAGGGCACAATTCTTGACTTATCGTCTTGAAACTTTACATACTTATTCCTTATACCCTAAGGATAATCCCTATTGTTTTTGGCGCATGCCCTTGGTGCATGCCCTACCCCCAGGGGCAGGGCCACATCCTCTTTTTGTATTTGGTTGTCGTTTATAGGTTGCATTTCTTAACGAATCCACTTTAAACTTTGCATACTTATTCCTTATACCAAAGGATCATCACTATGTTTTTGGTACATGCCCAACCCCCAGGGCAGAGCCACGCCCCCAGGGCAGAGCCACGCCCATTTTCTTGTTGGGTTTTTGTATGTTGCATACAGGGCGCAATTCTTAACTTATCGTTTTGAAACTTTACATACTTATTCCTTATACCCTAAGGATGATTCCTATTGTTTTTGGTGCATGCCCTACCCCCAGGGGCAGAGCCACATCCTTTTTTTGTATTTGTTTGTCATTTACAGGTCGCATTTCTGAATGAATCCACTTCAAACTTTGCATACTTATTCCTTATACCCTAAGGATCATCACTATTATTTTTTTAGGTGCATGCCCGACCCCAAGGGGCAGAGCCACACCAATTTTTTGTATTTGTTTGGCATGTACAGGCCGCATTTCTTAACGTATCAACGTGAAACTTTGCATACTTATTCTTTGTACGCTAAGGAACACCCCTATCGTTTGAGGTGCATGCCCAACCCCCAGGGGCAGAGCCACACCCCTTTTCTTTTTGTGTGTCTGTGTATCGCCTACAGGCCACAATTCTTAATCGATTGTCTTGAAAAAAAATGCGTATGAATTCCTTATACCCTAAGGATGATCCCTATTTGTTTTGGTGCATGCCCGACCCCCAGTGGAAGAGCCACGCCCATTTCTTGTATTTATTTGTTTGTCATCTACAGACCAAATTCCTTAACATATTACCTTGAAACTTTGCATACTTATTCCTTCTATCCTAAGGAACATCCCTATAGTTTTTGGTGAATGTCCAACCCCCAGGGGCAGAGGCACGCCCATTTTTATTTTGTGTGTCAGTATGTCACTTACAGCATGCAATGCTTAATCAGTCGTCTTGAAAACTTTTTTTATACTTATTCCTTATACTCTAAGGCTGTCCTCTATTATTTTTGGTGCATGCTCGACCCCCTGGGGGTTGAATATGGAACAATATAAATATGCACCACCCTGCTATTGAAATGAAAACATCAATAGTTGTGTGTCTTGTGTTTCGCCTACAGGCCACAATTCTTAACAGATCCTTTTGAAACTTTGCATACCTATTCCTTATACCCTAAGGATGACAACTACATGTGCCGACCCCCAGGGGCAGCGCCACACCCAATTTTTGTGTTTGTCATTTACAGGCCGCAATTCTGAATGGATCAACTTGATACTTGGTATATGTATTCCTTATAGCCTAAGGGCATCAACTATTGATTTTGGTGAATGCCCTGAACCCCAGGGGCGAAGGCCACAATACTGAATGGATTATCTTGGAACTTGGTATACTTATTCCTTATACCCTAAGGATGGCAACTATTGATGTCATTTCAATAACAGGCTGGTGCTTATTTATATTGTTCCATATTCAACCCCCAGGGGCAGAGCCACACCCAATTTTTGTATTTATCATCTACAGGCTGCAATTCTGAATGGATCATCTTGGAACTTTGCATATTTATTCTTTATACTGTAAAGACATCAACTATTTATTTTGGTGCATGCCCCGACCTCCTGAGGCAGTGTCATACCCACTTTTTTGATAATATTTTGTCTGTAAATTTGGCAAAACAAACCCAATGCCTAGCCTTCTTTGCCTCGTGTCATATTACAGCGATTTCATATTTCATTCTCTTCATTTTATAAAGTACCATATCAATCAAAGCTGGAATGTGGACGTATATTGCAGCATTAGCGATGCTCTTGTTTACCATGTGCGTAGCACCATGAATCGTCTGTCAGACTAGGAAAGCGGCCACACCGAAAAACCAGTCGCCACATCCGGCATATAACCCATGCATCGTTTCTTAACTACATATTTTGGCTCTGGACTGGCTACTGTTGTATCTTTCTTCTTAAGGACTTCACCATTGTGTTTTCTTACGATACCGACTCAAATAGTTTTTGCTATACGTTTTTATGTCACAACAGTTACACAATAGTCTACATTACAATATTTAAAATTAAGATGTCTTTCTCTCAACCCCACTCCTGTAAAAGTCTAACCAGCGTGGCTAGACTCAGGAAACCACTACATGGTGAAATGGTCGTCTAAAGAACCCAATGCGTGTCTAATCTCTAAAGAATCCAATGCTTGTCTGACTATTCTAGCCCTCACTCCCTCTTATTTATAGATGCCTTTTCTTTTGTCTGTCGTGTTTACGTAAAAGACTGATAACTACTAAATTCCAAATATGAAATGGACATGCACCCCAATCTGGATATTGACAGGAATTATTACCTAATTTGGTCAACAAATATGATATATGTTTTATAACAAAGAAAAATGTAAATGACCAACATGTTCATTAATCTATAGCTCAGTTAAGGTGTCAAAATAACCAGCATATACTTTCTATATTTTTGGTTATGAAGTTAGAATCAATAATATGAAAGATAACAATATTGTTTCAGCCATCATATTCCTTCATTCTTTGTCTTATGACCCCTTTTTCCGTTATTGTCACAATATTTCATAAACAATTTAATTTGCGTTTCAGAATAAACTTATACCATAGCTATATTTTGACAATGGAGAATAATTAATCAAGACCATAATATTATTTACATATGTGTTCTTTAGCCATCCATATTACTATATTACCTCCCCTGCTTTAGGATTTGTGCTACTTATTACATGTAGTTAGGAGACTCCTTGAAAACTTTCCATTTTCTAATCTAACATCCATATAATTATATAATTATTCATGCAACATGCAAATATATACGATTACTATACGATTACCATCCAATAAACTCATAAAACAAAGCTATCAAAGAAAAAACACAAATAATCAAAAATCAAAAATCGCATGCAAAAGCTCTCCAAAAGTTCATCACTTCAATGTCCTATGATAATTCACTTTAACCCTAACACAGACAGTCTGAACTGTAATTGTTTTTATACGCCCACATTTTCATGTGGACGTATTATGCCGTCGCCCCTGTACGTCCGGAAGTCCAGACGTCCGTCCGTCCGTCCACAATTTGTTTGTGGACACTCTACAGGTCACAATTCTTATCCGATTTTAACGAAAAATCACGTTTTTTGGCTTGTGGACCCTATAGAGGTCACAATTTTTATCCGATTTTGTTGAAACTTGAAATGTAAGTTTATAACCCAAAGATCTCGATTCCTTTTGATATTCGCGCATATCGGACCGTAACTTCCTGAATTATGGCCCCTGATTGTACGAAAAATCACGTTTTTAGCTTGTGAACCCTATAGAGGTCATAATTTTTATCCGATTTAAAAAAACGTATTATTATATCACCGTTACACCATAAGGACGACTGAGTTCGAATTTCGTGAAAATCGGCCTAAAATTGACAGACAAAATGGCCGCCGTTCGTTCTCAAATAGCGTAAAAATATGGTATATCAATGTTGTGGACACTATAGAGGTCACAATTGTTATCCGATTTTGTTGAAACTTGAAATCTAAGTTGATAATCCAAAGATCTCGGTTCCTTTCGATATTCGCGCATATCGGACCGTAACTTCCTGAATTATGGTTCCTGATTGTACCAAAAATCGCGTTTTTAGCTTGTTGACCCTATAGAGGTCATAATTTTTATCCGATTTAAAAAAACGTATCATTATATCACCGTTACACCCTAAGGATGGCTGAGTTCGAATTTCGTGAAAATCGGCCTAAAATTGACAGACAAAATGGCCGCCGTTCGTTCTCAAATAGCGTAAAAGTATGGTATATCAAGGTTGTGGACACTATAGAGGTCACAATTTTTATCCGATTTTGTTGAAACTTGAAATGTAAGTTTATAACACAAAGATCTCGGTTCCTTTCGATATTCACGCATATCGAATTGTAATTTCCTGAATTATGGCCCTTGATTGTAGGAAAAATCACTTTCTTGTTAGCTTGTTCTCTATCCATCTCTCGAAAATGTGGGCGTATCCTGCCTGGCAGCCGCTGGTAACATTTCCCCATGAGACTTAGTTATCCTAATTTGTATAAATATTATCCATGTTACACAAACATCTACTACCGGTAATCTCACCTTTTTGACGTACAGGGGTGTCGGGGTGGATGTCCGAATGGTTAGCCCGTGCGCGCTGTATCATAAGGTCTGTCATCGAGTCAACTGGCGGGGTTTCGATTCCCGGTTGTATGTGACAAGGAGTAGGGTCGCCTGTCCAACCTTGTGGGTTTTCTCTGGGTCCCCTGGTTTCCTCCCACTGCTAAAGACCCCTACGCGCAAGCGAATTATTGAAATAAAATTGAACCATATGTTAGTCCCAACATGACCTAGTTTGTGTCGAGTGGACGTTAAACCCCATTTCCTTCCTTCCTTCCTTTTTGACCTACTCTTATTAATTTTGTTTGTGAACTAAAACAAATACACCAATGCATGAAACATGCCCACCGTTACCTATTCCATCTTAATGTTACAAAAGCAAGAATGCCATGCAAACATGGCCACTATCTGAATGACATCCCATTTTATTTAATTTATCTAGAACTATGTCCCAAGCGAATGACTGCAGTTTTATTCACCCGAACATCCGATGATTATTGTTAATATTACGTCAATATTTAAAAAAACTACAACTTGGTGATTTCGGACATTTCACATTGTCGCAGAAAGTTCAAGTGGAAAAAAAATATAATAAGAAAAATGATAATCTTTAACAAAAACAATAGTGTTTCACACAAGCCACGCAGTGTGAAACCCTAATGAGAACTTTGGATGGTCATAACTTACATTAAGATTGATCGATTTAAATAATTTTAGACCATTATGCATTTTATGAAGCCTTTTGTGTGGACTGAAAGTCTATACTTGCCTTACAGTCAAAAATATTGTGCCTTTAATTTTTGATTTTAAAATGGAAGTTTACAATACATAGGCTACACCTGTACATATTTCTTTGTATGAAATCATATAATCCGTACATTTGTATTATATCATGGAAGACTCGGTGGCTCAGTGACTAAGATCCTGGCTCACTGACCCAGAGAACAATTGAGGTCACGCATATTACCCCAGTCAGTATTGGCCGAAAAAGTTCTTGATTTTTTGGTTTGGTTTCTCCTAGTCAGTGGAGCAAGATGGAGGGCCTAGCCAGAAACAGTGTATAGTCATTTGGATGAGACCAAAGACTGAGGTTCTGTGTACACATTGGCATGCACATAAAAGAACCCCTGACAGAGGAAATTTGAAATAATGAGTCTTGCCAAATTTCCCCCATAGTGCATTCACTGCATTGCATTGTGTAGACCTATACCCGTATATCCCGGATGGAGCAGAAAAGTAGGATGTTAAACCCAATTTCAATTCATTTTTCTTACTTCACATCATTTTCACTATTTTTCAGGCACATAAAGAGGCTATAGAATTATTAAAGAATTTGGGAGTAAGGGAACCTTCGAAAATTTCAATATCCCATGGATAGATATCAACCCACTAACCCATCAACCCCCCCGAAAATGTTGACATAATGTTTACATTGTCATAAGATACTTTTCACTATTTTTCAGGCACATAAAGTGGCTATAGAATTATTAAAGAATTTAGGCGGAGACAGTTGAAATTTATCACGGTGTTAATTTATTATATTATATGATAATTATTAGCAGGGTATAATGTGCCTTATATAAGTAATGTGTTGTAGGACATTATAATCCAAGAGGTGTTTCTATTATTGTTAATAATGAATGAATACACTCAACAAGCTTTATTTACTCAACTTTATGGAGTTGTGTAAATAATATTGTGACTCCTTCTACTCTTAACTCCAAAACAGTTGAAATGTATTTACTGTAATTAAATGGGGTGGGAAGGCAGTAGCCTAGTGTGTGCAACAAGTGTTTTTGATTCCAGGCTCATTTGTGACAAGGAAGAGGGTTGCCCGCTAAAAACCCTGGAAGCAGATTTTTGAAGGAAATATTACAATATACTTGTTCCAGAATCACCTGGTTAGTGTTGAATGGGCATTAAACTCTGCTTTAGTGCTGAGAAATATGTTACTTATAATAAAGTAATTTAATACAGGTGGGGTTTCAGTTTTGAAAGTAGAAATATTTTCCTTTCGACATACTACTACATCCACTCTTTTCAATATATGGGTCACCTTTATTAATTTTAAGGCCTAGATTGAGTTTGAATAATTCTTAAGTTGAGCAAAATGACTCCAGCCAGGTATTTTGCTTCAGTAACCTAATAAATTAAACTTATTTACACTATTCTACATGGGGAAAGACTGAAAATGGAAATTTGTTTATGCCATCATTTATTATACAATAAATCCATGAATGTTTGATTATTTTATTATTTTTCTACAAAAGCAAACTTGCCAAGTATAATGTATACCAATATAACAGAATAACTTTTAAAACCTAAAGTATTGATATATGTACATAAATAATATATCTTTTGATAAACTCCAGGGGTTAGAACAAATCATACCTTTTAATAAAATTCATTTCATGTTAGAAAGATAAATAAATATATATTTAAGTGATAATCTTTAATTTAATGTCAAATATTTTAAGGAACTCAAGAAAAGGTTATAAGTCTAAAGTATTATGTATGGTTATGAAAACATTTGTATAGTAATACTGTTTACTGTGGATACTGGTACTTCATAATATTATGTATGTAAAAATGAATTAAATATTATAAATTTATTAAATTATGTTGTGTTTTTTTAACAATTGTTCATATTGTTTGTGTTTAAACGGAAACAAATTATGATTATTTATTAAATAAATAGGATCAAAAAATATATAATGCATTGTGCTTGTTAAATTGACATCAAGTATCTACCTGCACTGAAAATCACAACCATGTAAAAAATTCTAATGGCACATTCACACAGTTTGTTATTGTTAGATTGATATTTGTAATTTATTTATCTTTCAATAAATTTATTTTGAAATTTCTTTAGGTTTTGTTTTACTGTACTGTATCCAAAAAGGTGTTACATTGGTGTATGTGTATATATCTGGTGTATAGCTTTAATACATATGGGGGATTCACACTGTGACAAGTGCCTGGTAATACATGTATTTTACTTAACTCAAGTTGTACATAATAGTAAGTGCAGGAAGCATACACCTGAACCCCCCCTGTACAAATTAGCACCTTTGGTGCTTGATTCATGACATTTGGTCATTCCAACCTTCATAGCGAATTTAGCTACATTATTGCCCATGATATCATCTACAGAATTATCAATAGAATGTGTCTCAAATCAGTGCAATTAATACATTATAGAATATATTATGTATAGTTTATTTACATCTAGTTTCATTTTTAGATTCTCACGTGGTATTAATGGAGATATTAAAGATACATTATGGGAGATTAGATAACGAGTTGGCAGTTCTCACTATAATAGTTAAAAACTAGATAATGTAAAGGCAATTTGTTGAAAATTTCAGTCAAATTCATCCACTATGAACCGAGAACTAAGCGATTGAAATTTCCGCCTAGCCTCGGTCATCATTACTAAAGTCGGTACGACAAAAATCATAGTCTCGATTATCATTTAATCGTTAAATCGAGAAGGAAAGCTATGCAGCAAATCGGATCATAATCCAACAATTATCGCAGGATAGCGCTGACATCGAGAGTTGATTATGTTCTGGATACGTTAATTATAGTCTAATTAATAGTTTATATAACATTTCAGGCCAAAAGAAAGACCTGCAATAGGCAGATTTAGCTCTTGCATAATGCATGTTTAATGGAAAATTTTGATAGAAATCGAATATACAGGTCAGAGTTCTATGGAATACAATTACAGCTTATTACTGAGCACCAGTCGCAGCAGAACAGTACGACGTTAAACCCCATTTCATTTTATTTATTACTCAAATTACAGCGCGACGTTTCGACTAGGCTTCTCTAGTCTTTATTATCAAACAACGTCAATTTATGTTAATTTGGCTGGGGAAATTACAAATCGTTGGGGAGGATGCGTCTAATAATGTTATATGATTATGGATAAAGTAATATTGTATTATAATACACTATATACAATGGCAAAGAATAGATTATGCTACTATAATTTATAAGATTCAAGATATCTTGATGTTCTGTCTTATTTGAGACGTTTGGCCCTGGCTTGTTCGAATTTCTCCATAAAGCGACTTATACTAGAGAAGAAAACATCTGATGGACGATCCGAATTCTCACCAAACATTTCCTGAAATAATTCAGATAATTGGTTTAAACAGTATCGAAATTATTGTATCATTTAAAGGCATAAAGAATAGTATACAAAACAAGCAAAGTAACCTTATATTAATAATTCAGATAATAATTTATATAAAAGGAATCTGCAGACTTATTACCAGAAGAATTATGCAGCATATTGGATATGCAATACAATAATAATGTATACATGCATCTATAAATACTAAAATAATATTCTAATTTACCTTTCCGGAATTAGTTATGTGGAATTAGACTTACCATCATCTAAAGTGAAAATAAATACTAAAATAATATTCTCATTAACCTTTCCGAAATTAGTTATGTGCAATTCGACTTACCAGTGTTCTATTATATTTATTAATAAGTTGAGTTGCCTTGGTGTCTAATTTATTCAGGCCCTTCTCATGCTCGGTAACAAAATTCTGTCAAAGAAACACAAACATTACAATTTGATATATTGCCAGTTCGAGTTGGTAAAGAGAGACAACGATGTTTACATGGACAATGGTGTTTACGAAACATTGCAATTTTGTAGACTTTTAGCTCAGTGATTTTATTCAATATGAATTATACAGGATTTCCTAGTCACAAATCGATGAAGTACAATGAAATGAAATGAGGTTTAACATCCTACTATTCTGCACCAACCGAGCTAACGGAGAGGGAATTTTCCTGGACAGCGGTGTTTCCGCCTACTCTGTCAAGGATTTTTGTGCATGCCCTGGGCCCTCTGGGTTGTGAGCTAATGCCTTGCTAACTGAACCATCGTGGCTCCCATATGAAGTATAACTGAGGGTAGAAGTCGTGAGGCACTATGGGATATCTACCTGTACATCCGACTGGAACTGTTTATCTTGATTTGACGTCATCAAAGGTTTCAGAACTTTCATGTTTTTCTTTACTTTTTGCAAATCATTCTTCAGAACTTAAATCAAACGTACAATTTTACAAAAAAAAAACGGACAAAAGAATCGGATAATTAAATTATTTGATTTTTTTTTATGAAAATGATATTAAATTTTAAATTCTGCACAAAATGATACGCTGCATATTACAACAAAGTCATTACTACCCACCCAGTCATCACCGAACCTTGACATATTTGATTGTTCTTTGATTGGCATTTAGTAATTGAACAATATTAACACAAGATACAATTTTATGGATACACAATATGAGTTTGATACTAAGCAATGTTTCGACGGGGATACTCTCATCATTTGCTTGATAAAGACGAGAGTATCCTCGTCGAAACGTCGCTTAGTATCAAACTCAGTAATTGTGTATCAATAAAATTGTATGTTGGACGGGCAAGAGAAATATAAATTGAAGGCCCGGAAAAAACAATAAAACACAAGACCTCTTTATCGGGATGCCAAGCATTAAAATAGCCATTAGATGGACCAAGAAGAAAGGGGTATATTTTATGATATACCTCCTGTACGTCCATGCGCCGGGACTGATTAACTTACCTTCTATTTCAGCACCTATAGCTTTAACTGAGTATTCAGCAGAACATGATACGTGTTTTAAAGTCGATGTCCAATCTAACAAATCTTGATCTTGAGCACGCAGCGTATTTACCAAATAACTCAAAACTGTCAGATGAGGGTCTCTTCCTTTTACTTCTAAAATCTTAAAAAGACATCCAAAATAATAGTTTTGTTTCGTTGATGTTTGTGTTTGTATTCATGATAGTTATCCAAAGCCTTTTTCAGTGTGAAAACTACAAGCTGTAAAAGACCCGAAAACGTAATATTGAAAATACCGCTATCTGATCATTTTGATCATGGATTAAAAACAAACATGTATACCTTATCAATAGAAGTTATTTCAAAACCCTGAACACCATATCCGGAGGACCATTTAGAATTCAGAAGGTTACCAATAGCCAGAATATATTCCAGTATTTTAACCAACTTACTACAGCCAACTAATTCATCACACGCAATCCATATATCTTCTACTTCCTGGCATTATAAAATATTGAAAAAAACGGATAAACTGGTAGACATTTATATTTTTTCTTCAAAATTATTATCTTGAAACACGAAGAAACCATTTAAATAGCCACGTGAGCTAACGTTTGTTTTGAAAAAAGAAAGCATTGCCGAATACATTATTTTGCCTATACCATTTTTTTAGGACTTCGAATTTTATCTAATGGTTTGGATTGTTCGTACTTGGTTTTGTTTTATTATTACTCATTTTACCGAAAGACCATTACTATTGAATTGAAGGCAACGGATGACATAAAAATGGTTCTTCTGGCTTACTCATCAAAAGCATGGAGACAGGGCTGGCCGAATTAAATCACAAGGTCTGGTTTCGAGATCCAATCTGGCAATACTTGTTCATGACAAGGAATCACGGTTTGCGAGAAGGAGTAGGGTGGATTGCCTGCCTAACCATGTGGGCTTTGTCCGTTCCTTCACCACGTTCCCATAAATTACCTCTTGTACAGCTTCGTATGTTCTAGGGAACTCCCAGATGGTTTGTGTAAGTTCTAATCGTAGTCCAATGTAAGGAATTTCACAAAGATTCTTCATGAATTTATCAACTGGTAATAACTTTTCTACAGGTCCTTTATAAGCTTTGTACATCTCTTTATCATCGTCGGTTGGTTGACAACTGGATTTAGAAATAAGTAATATTGATGACATATACTGTTTTATAAGCTTTAATGTTCTAACCATAACTACGGTATAAGTGCAAGGACACCAACAACCTCTTTTCTTAATAGTAGCCAGGAATAAAGCTTTACAAAGAAATATTTCAAAGATATTTTAGCAATTTTCTTTTTCAAAGATGCATTAACAAGATTTAGATAAAGAGCTGACAATTCTCGTTATAATAGATACAGAAAAGGGAATATGTTGAAAATTTCAGGCAAATTACTTCATTCTGAGCTGAGTTATGGTCTTTTAAATGGCACTGCTACTGTTGTTACAATAATAAACCAAGTCTCAATTATCCAATTTTAAATTAAGTTATTAACTGGCAATCTTGTTTAAATCCGTTGGATTTAACTGTAATTTTTACATAACATTTGCAACCAACCGATAGATCCGCATTAGGCAGATTTAGCTCTTGCATTATGCATTTTTAATAGTCGGTACATTACGATTTTGAAAACATGGGCAAAGTTCAATTGGTAAAACAAATTTCCTTACTTGTACTATTCTTATTCAATGAACCATAAAAAGAAAATAATAAAGAATACACCCACCTACGTATAGTCGATAAAGTTTCTGCTGGAAAAGTTGCCGTTTCGGTCATTGTAGATAAAAGTTCCAACATGTTGTCATTGCCAGTTATTTTCATACCATTCACAATGATACCCAGGATGTGAGCACGTTTAGGGTCAAGAAGCAACTCTTTCGATTTTCTACCCCCTGAAATATAAACCTGATCAATAGTAGATAATAATAAATAATAGAAATAAAACATTTAGAGAAGATTGCCATTGTCCACGTACTAATTGAGGTCGTATTATCACTATTCCCGGTTTATGAAAATGTTCTATCGCATCGTAAAATAACAGACCGACCCCGCCCACCCTTTTTCTTGACCCGTTAGCTCTTTCATTCTGAACTGTTTGCAGCTCCAACATTATCTTACACATATTTGAATCGATCCTTTTCTAGGTTTTATTTTGGCTATTGCCCTTTAGAATTGGTGGTAATATATTTTGCATCCTTTGGTGACCTTAGTTAATTGAAATTGGCCTGATGACGGGATGTTAAAAAAGACTGATCATTTAGGGTATAGCATTTATACAAAATCCTGCGCTGTTTGTACCTTCTTTGGGTTCTTTACCATTACTGGTCTCTTTTTCTTTCATAGCAAACTGTTCTTCCAACAAAGAAAGATCAAGATTCTTAGTTACGTCATGCATGGTCTTCCAGATGGAGCCAGAAACCTTCAATTTAAAAAAAGTAAATAGTTCACATATCAACGACATTCTTTTTTGAAAATATATAATATTAACCATAAGCACCATCACTTAAATCCGCATTGAACTTACCACATTATTTGAGATTTTAGTCCAGTGCGCAGGTTTTAATTTAACGGACGGAAGTGTTGTAAGCTTCACGCCAGCTTTCTTCACTTTTAGTAGAGGAGCTGGGGCAGGTGGTGGTGGTGGTGGCGGTGCAGGTCTTCCTGTGAGTGTCGCCGGTGGTGGTACTCCGTTACTTTGTGGTCTGTCTTGTTTCGGTTCCTGGGGTGACCCGCTCCTTCTTTTAGTTTTCGTATCAGTTCCATCCGCATCGGCTAACACTTTTATTTTATCTTCAAACATCGCTCTAGCAGACGAAACATTGCCTTCAGGTGATTCGAATATAGCATTGGATGACTTAGTTGTTAGAATGGGTTCTGCAGTTGAATAAATATTAGCTTCAGAAGGGCATGTCTGTGGAGAGCGAGATGATTCACTAGATGTAACTGGTATTGGTATTGTTGTAGATGTGGCCATTATGGGTACTTTTCCTGATCTGATTGGGTCAGGGGAAGATTGATTCGCTTGCTGTTGAGTTCTATCAGAAGTAGGATCTGATGTGCCAACATAGCTAACACTAACACTTAGATGAGCTGTTATTTCTTGTGCTCTACAATAAAACAAAAGTTACAATGGAACAAATTCGTAACTCTATTTCATTTTTACATTCTTCAAGAAATGTATTTTCACGCCTTAACACCACGCTGATAATTCAAATGTTTAGAGTATGTTATTCATGTATTTAACCTTTTAAATTGGGTTATGATTATGAAAAATGTTGATACCGTGGTTGAAACTGGTTGACCTGCTGTTGGTTAACGTCTGAGGCAAACTGAAAACAATGAAATTAAATCATACGAATAAATAAGTTATAGAAATTTTAAAACTAAGTTAAAGTCAAAGAGGGGAGTGAAGAGTATAGATCGCCGAAAACTGATTTGGGGTTAAATACCCCTAAACAAAACTGTATTATATAGCATGATGTTAGTCAATAGGAGATTATTTTCACTTATAAACCTGTAACGGTAAATCTCTTTGATCTTTGGGGTATATTGTATGCCTGTAATAACTTGCGGTCTGAAAGTCGGGGGCGGCTTTGGATATATACTGGGAAATTTGGGGTTATTCTTCTAAAAGTTTTTCTTTAAACCTGTAACGGGTTATTGTTCAAGAGTAGATTTTTTCCCCATAAGAAAACATGATATAAGGTTTTTTCTTACGGGAATTCTGGGATATTCTCATCTTGCGTACATGTAAACATAGACGGTTTATAAGCAAGATAAACTGGGGAAGAAAGATTTCACACAAAAAAAAACCCTCGACAGAAAAACCTCGGCCTCGCGACCTCGGTTTTTCTTTTTCTCGGGTTATTTTCTTCAGTCTTTCTTTCCCCAGCATAACCTCAGTCTCGTGCTTTATCCTAGAACAAACCTGAGGTAGGTAGGTACATGTAGGTGTGTGTTTGGGTGGGTTTGCGTAAAGGGGTGAGTTTATTACACCAATACACCACTGGAAGTTTCAAGCCCAATGGTGGTGTGGTAAAGCTTTCGTGTCCATTATTTTCCTCACGAATAATCTATATGTACACATCCATTTATAGTAAGCCTGCACAACCACCTTGGTTAGGTCTTTATTTTTCTTGACCGGGTGTAACTCTTGGCCAGAGAGTAACTTTTTATTAAAGGAAATACATACAGTATTATCTAACCTGTGTAGCTGATGTATCTTCCTTATTCCCAATAACTGCCGTGGCCATTTCATAGATGTTATCTGGTTTAGATTTAATACTGGCATTTCTACCAATATTATTATCTAAATACACCAATGTATTTCTACGAGTCTTAATAGCCTTCTCGAGAACCTGTAGAAGGGACAAACATAATTTCACAATCCAACCACTGAAGTTAAAATGAATTAGACAATGCAGTCCAAGCGGTTTACACTGATATAAATGATATTTAAATTCAATCCGGTTGAATGTTAAGATGGATTCAAATTGGTTAACTACGTGAACTTGACACCTCTCTGACTGACTGGGCCAGCAGCATTTGGCATCATTTGATCCGGAAATGAAATCGGGTTTACGTCCCACTTTTCTACTCTATCCGGGCTTATGTAGAAAAGACCTCCTCGTTAATGATACGAGAAATCGTCCCCCACCCCCGTAAAGAGTAAACATACTATACCTTGTGCGTGACACAAATCACAACATGTACATGGGGTCAAAACTGGCCAGAGTTGGGGTCAAAACTGGCCAGAGTTTAGGTCAAAACTGGCCAGAGTTTAGGGAGGCAACTAATAGCCCACTGGCATTGAAATTTGGTAAACATAATAACACAAATGAAATATATAAATATAGATTAATATTGGTTCACATGCAAACCGATTGAAATGAAAGAACGTTTCGGTATTGTTAAGCAGTTATGATGGATTAAAATTGGAAAGTCTTTACCTTAACCCATTCTTCCCTGTCATCTTCAGCTGTCAGCCGTTGTTTAGGATCTCCAATACATCGAAAACTAAAAATACAATTCAAATAATCTGTGTTTGAAATTGACGCATGCAGTAAACCTTTTTGATTCAACCTGACCTGATGACCTAACAGTAATAGTGATATCATAGCAATATTTATGTCATAACATTGTTGCTTTAATGGCGTAGAAGCGACCTCAGTAGAACTTTCTATACTATCTTCATTTTTATAATTTAAAAATATTATTATCCTTACATGGTAATGATGCATTTTAAAACAGTTCTGTTCATAAATAAAATTACCTATATGTTCGTTCATCCCGTATAGTCAGTGAAAAACCACTGGAAGCTATTCTTTTTATTTGACAAATACCATCCCAAATCTGAACAATATTTAATGCCAACTGCAAATAAAACAAAAGGTATTTATAATGGGACTGTTAGTTTAAGATTATCGATGATGATAACTATGCACATACAGGGTAATGATGATTTTATCATTGTCTACGCAAAATAAACTTAAGAATACGCTTACATCTTCTCCTGGCTTGAAGTAAGAAAATTCGCCTGGTGATACCTTAACTCTTCGTCTATAAATATATAAAAAAACAATAATTACGTGCATTCATGATAAAGATCGATGAATATATATAAACATTCGTAATCCTGTGAGGCCAAATAGTGCCAGTGTCGTAGATTAACCAGTTGTTTTATTCCCAAAATCTTAAATTAAAATATGATAAGAATGCAGACTTTTCATTGGCTGGGAGTTAAAATCCTAAAACAAATTTGAGCTTTTTGCCAATGAAAGGGGTGCTAGTTTCCCTTCTTTTGGTAAGAAATTGAGCGACCTTTACATATTATATAGATAGATTTGTGAATAAAATGGTACGTCTACATAATTTACAATACAGCACCAAGTAAGTTTAATATTAATAGTAATTTTAAAATGATAACAACATATAAATATTTACGAAACAAAATCAAAGGTGTAAATAATAAACAGAAAGATGTGGTAGGAAATCTTCCCAGCAAAGAATTATCTACAATTAATTCTCTGTAGTTGTATGAAACAGCAATCTGATTAAAAATAGATCCTATTTCGTTTCGTTTTTTATAGTTTAAAATTTCGTTTTACTTGTCTTCACAACACTACAATGATCTGAAAGAGTTGTTATATAATAGGCGTTTTAGTTGATGTGAGGAATTAGTCAATGAAACGGTCTGTTACGGCGACCTCTCAGTACAACTGGTCAGATCTTCCTGTAGGGTAGGCCATCGAAAGTATATTTAAAAAAAAAAAACACGAAACGAAATATAGATCTGTATTTTAATCAGATTGATGAAACAGGTACCACATGAAAACCTGGAATCAAACAGATAGTGAACCGCTGTGGTTTCAAACGAGTCCCATGCTTAAGAAACTGGACTAAATGGAAAAGCGAGTCCAACCACACACCATCCAGGTTAGGGTAAAGACTAGTATCATCATATCTTTTTGGACCAAGAGAGAAGAGAAGCAGATGGTCCATACTTATTCCATGTAGTTATGGTTGTATTTCCCTTTTTCTCCAGCAGACCATCTTTAAGTATTCTTTCTTGTCTGATTTTAACTGGTGGTAATAGAGATAGACTGCTACTATCTGATGCTGCTGTAAAATACCCACAAATAATATACAGACAATTCTTTAACTTTTTTTAAACAGATCTGTTTAAAGGCAGACGAGTCATGTGTTTGAGGTTTTGACGTATATACTCAACAAAAAGTAGGCCATTTCAGTGTGTATCTTTATTTATATAATTCGCTTGTTCACCTGGGACTTTAGCAGTTGGGGAAACCCATGAGGTTAGGCAAATTACATATTGCCATGTGAGATCGAAAGGTCAAGGCTTTGACCCCATTTTAAAGAAAGAAATTAGTTTGACAATGTCAAAAAAGTGGAAAATTATCATTTGTAGGGACAACTTACTATTTGCATATTCCGCTGATGTACCATCTGTAATTAAAGAAAGCAGGCGACATATTGTATATTTTTCTTCTGAATTATCTGTGTCAAACTCAATCTCCCCATCTACAAACCTTAACACTAGATGAGACCCTTCCTGAAATATATACAATAAATATTGGTTTGTTTTCGACTTGGCTCATCTTGTATTGATGGTGAATTTATAATAATCTGAATTTTATACATGGCGTATACACAGTCAAGGTAAAAATATGTTAATGTTCAAGTTTGGCATTATGTACAGTGGATGCAATTGAACAATAAATGAGTCCGACACTAAAAGTGACATATTATACAGGTACCAATGATTTGAAATGAAAAATAAGTCTGTATGAATATGAATATTAACCTATTCAAACATTTAAGAATTTTTACATATGAATGTTTTAACGACATCCGATATGCTATACTTACTTCAGAATCATAATGCTGCAGTTTATCAAAACCATAGTTTTTCTTTATGTGACCACGTTGTATGATGTAGAAAGACTTTCCAGGAAAATCAAGCTGGCCAACGATAAGAATAGCAATTATATAAATGTATCATCATTAAAGTTATGCTGTTGTTTAAATGGAACTTGGGCCTGTTTCACTAAATTTTAACTAAGATAAAATCCAAATTCTAGTAATTTGATTGGATAATATTAGATTGATTTCAGTGCTTAGCACCTACTAAAATTTTGATTTTATCTTTAGTTAAGATTTCGAGAAACCGGGCCCTGGCCATAAGAATTGTATGCACAATTATAACAATTTAAAGAAGTATTCCTTGAAAGATAACTGGACACCAACTAGTCCCCACAGCGACTTCCGTACCGTATTACCGACTCCCGTACCTTATCACCGGCTTCCCTACCCCGAAAACCCGGACTGATACATCAATAACATGCAATGGCAAATAGTTTAAGATAAGTAATGTGGTAAACTTTGCTGTTGCGGGAGATAAAAAATGCTTTCTTTATATTTGTTCTGCAATTGGTAGTTGACTAAATGAAAAGGACAATTACTGTTAAATTCCTTTCGGGTATATAACGCTGCAATGATGAACTTGAAGTGGTGGGCTACAAATTGAAATTAAACAGATTTAATTCATTGCTGATCACCACGTCTGATTACATTATGTTAAATTACTTACCTGAAATATAGCTCTTTTACTCTTTTTCATGTAAATTCCAAAATTGTGGACTTTTTCTATCAGTGGCGAATGTGAAGACATTTTATCCGTATAACTCTATAACTGTGGTTGACGATATAGGACAATCTTTCTTAGTTTTGATATTTTTTTAACTAGGGTAATTAACTTATGATAAACAAGTACCTATATATACATACACTGTAAAATAAAATATTTATAGTGGTAGGTCAACAAACTTAACATTTATCGTGTTTTGTGGGGATTGTTATACACGAAGGGGTGTTTATTCGCATCTTAACTCGATTAAGTTGATAATATAGAAAATCTTTAGATCACAGCTCGATTTTGGAACAATAGAGTTTTCAGTTCGTTCGAATCAAGCATGTGATCTGTTTTAATTTGTATAGCTAGAAGCTGAAATTCTTTCTTCTGGGATATGGTACTTAATAATAGCATACATAGACTAGGTATATACGTATAAATATTATTGTAGGTCGACTGAATGACATATAATTATAAAGGCTGGATTTCAAATACTTACATATTTCAAATTTATCAAAATAAGTCGATATAGCAAAGGAGCTCCACTTCATTACCCCGTTACCTCATTTCATTGGTAAAAATGCTTCGAAATTTACGAAATTGAATAAGCGATTTTATTTATCACCCATATATGGAAATTCGAGTGATATATTCCATTCCCTGACTATGTCCTATGCCTTACTTTTCTGTACCAAACGAGCAAATGAAGATGGTCATAAACAATGCAGTATGCTATGAGAAATTCCAACTGTTATGGGTTCTTTAAATGTGCACGTTAACATGTACACGGGTAGATCTCGGTTTTTCGTCCTATCCGATCGACTAGACGCATTTCCTTACCTTACCCTCTGTACGTTAAAAGCCATTCTGTTTTACATTCTGTTACTATTAATATGTCAAAATCGTAAGATGAAGTTTATTTTAAGATATAATAGCAGTATGATACATCAAATTTGAATGTAAAATTACACACTGATCTTTTTATTGTGTGGGATGTAAACATAAGAATGTAATATAGATTTATATTTTAGTGATGATTTTCAGTATGTCAAATTCTTTTTTCTGCATGGTTGCGTGTCATCTGGACTAATTAATATTATCATTAGCAGTTCACGGTGGGTAAAATATGATTGATTAGATCGTACTTGTGGGAGTATTTAAGTAATACACAGAGGTAATTTGAAAATATAAAAATATACTGTTAAATAACGGTAACTACAAATTTGCTCAATGTCAGATTTCGAGCTTCTTTTAGATCTCTGTTGTTTGAAAGACCTACTTCTCACTTTTCATTTGAGGCGTTCACATAGCTAAAGAAAGGAATGAGTTTTAACACCCGAACAACACAATATTCTGAGAATAACACACGGTTAGTTTTTCTATCGTCACTACTGCGTTGCTACGGAGAAATTTGCCCAGACAGCGGTCTATAGTTTTAATTCCATTTCAAATAGTTTGTGTTCATTGAATCATATGGCTTTATGCGGTGCATGTGCACGAGACTCGAAAGGCACCTATTTCATAAGTCGACAACTGATTTATCGTGTTGGCTCATTTTGTTTTCGCTGTCTTTATAAAACACTCTGCTGTATTTTATATTTAAGTACATATTTTTCTTGTCAACGCCTAGTTAGGATCGTTTAGTAACGTGTTTTGTACAATAAATATGTTGGCCTTTTACTCGCAAAACTATCATGACTAAGGTCGATTTTATTCCAACTAAAACAATAAGGTACCGAGTGAAACCGCTCGACTTTTGATCTTTGGTGAACAGAAGTTTGTAAGAAATGATATGAATTTTAACGTCTTGTTCTGCAATAGGAAATTTTGCCAGGATAACGGCGCTGTGGCATACAATTATTTCGATGTCCAACGGTCATGGGAATTAACGTGTTGCTAGTCGTATACAATAGACCTCGGGTTTTTGTCCAATCCCTTCTAATGGCCCCGTCCAACGCTATGATCAAAACCAGACCCCCTTCAATAGTGTGTCATCGCCATACTCACTGGGATGTCGTAGCACCCTAATTGCATCAAAAATCAAGTTTTAGAATTTCATCGGCGACGAACAGCTCAGTAACTTTATTTATAGTACGGTTAACTAAGACGAAAATTAACACGAGGGTGTGATTATTTGCACAGACAATTTTGAACACAAAGTGTGGCCTATACTAAATTAATTATTTATTCTTATGTAAGAATTCCAATATATATCTATAGCTTATTAAATGATAATATAATGACAATCAAAATGGAAGTAGTCATACACAGTGAAGTAGTATACATTTATCTTTTTTTCTGAAATAATTCTCAAAATTAAGTCAATATTAATGGAAACTGGCATCACTAGGTTCCTAGTGACCTAAAGCGTTGCGTTTATTGATTGTATGTGTCGCATTTCTAACCCTGTGGATTTACTTCAGCCCCCCCCCCTTCAAATAAACTCACGAACTCCTACGCGAATAAGGAGGCAGATCACCATTAAATTAAATTTATAGCAATTCTCTCTCTCTCTCTCTCTCTCTCTCTTCTCCCCTTTTGCATGCCCATTTTTGTTGATGTTTTTGGTCTAGAATGGACGAAGAGGGTTTGAATTAACATTTTATGTCAGGTTTTGGTAAATATTCATGATTTTGAGGCGGAAGGATAACGGGGTTATCAGATTGGCTACGGCGATATGTACGGCAACTAGTTACATGTTTTTAGTATGCTTCTTCAAGTTTGTGTATCTCAAAATTTTGGTGGTCAACCTCATACAAATTTTAGTACAAAGACATCACCATTTGTTCCTCTGTCTGTATTGAAAAACATTCAGCCCAACGAAAATTTGGGGAAAAGTTGGAGGTGGGCAAAGAGGCCAGAATTAACATTGAAGTCAATGGGGAAATTAATGGTGGTCTGCTTCCATATGGGTATGTTTGTAGTTATCTCCCTTGGAAATAGCCCAGCTGTCAAATGTTGGCACATAGAGTTCAAAGGAATCCGGAAGAATAATCCTTGCCAAGGTCACACAATAACCGATCGAAATGCCAATTTTATAGTTAGTCGTGTTTAATATTTCTATGAATTCAATAAGACGAGCCAAATATTTTCATTGTCCAACATGGTTAAATTGATATTAGAAGTATGGCAGTGTGTCTGTGCATTAAATCCTTAATTTACACACTTCGTCCAGATATTTCTAACTTTGTTTCAGTGTACAGCAAATTATTTTGTTAACGTTTTGAATCCAGACAAACCACGTCAACATACATAGATTCTCGATTCTGATCATCACAAAAATAGTCGCGAAGCGGTCGATGCAGACTTTGCATGAAAACTTGGATTCTGACTAATTAAAGTAAAAATCATTCTTAATGATCATTACAAGACTTTTTATGCTCTTAAGAATTGGCCAGTCACATTTCTTAGTTCAGGTTAGCCCTAATAGAAAAATGTCATCACCGTACTCTTTGAATACATTTGCATGTACACACGGTTTAAATATTCTACCTCAATTATTAGGTCTCAAAACGATAGGCAGACAGACGGACAACTGCTTAGCTTCAAATCCCAAGAAAACACTCTGCGTACATATATACTTAGTCAAGATATTCGCCTAATGAACATCTGATTCGAATATTACACTTCAATTAGAAGCAGAGTTATTCTGTCCCTAAATACCGACTAATGCAGAGAATGTTCATCATCAAACTCATTACCCTAATGAACATCTGCATCAAGTTTAAAATTCCAGCCGAGTTGTAAATAGAGTTATTGTGTCCCCCAAAAAGTGTATCGGACATAAGAGACAGACCAATCAGAATATTCCCCTGCTTTCTTCGAAAGAAGGGCGACAAAAACATCACAAATATGAAAACTTTAAGAAATATTTGATTATATTTCGATAAATTCCATCTGAAAACCAACTTTTAGACTTTGCCTTTAAAAATTTAAAAGCCATTAAGTGTTCGGCCGTGGTAGACTATATATACCAAATGACAACGGGAAGAATCTCCTTCAAATGACTAAATATGGGAATCTCGTCAAATGCTTTCTCTCTATAGAAATACATGTCTTACCTGAGTAATTTTGAACTTGATGAAAATTGGCGTGTTCACAACAGTGTCTGGCTTGTAAACAAGAGGAAACTAATTTTACATTCGTTATCGTCTGATAACTATTACCTAATTATATAGTTAACACCGAAATACTATGATTTATACCTACTGTGGTCATATATTTAAAGATTAGAAACCTATATTGCAGTCACCAGGGAAGTAATATAATTGTCGTTGGGTATGTCATTATTTATTATATTAAATCTTTACCAATAAAAAGAACATAAGTAATATTTAGTTCAATAATAAGAAGAAAAATCGTGAAATCGGTGCCAAGATTTGCTTTATTGTCTATGTTTTATGGAAAGTTATATCATAGTTGACTAGTTGTATGTCAAATCTGGCCTTCGACCAAGTATAGTTTCGGGCTTCACTATGACGATGGAGAGAATATTGTTTTCTTTTACAAAACAGTTTGAAACGGGTGCCAAAAATATATTCAATTAAAATTTCGAATCAAAATTTTTCTATTTTAATAAGTTGAACACTGTCATATAGCTCCGGTTGGGAGAACATACGATTTAAGGACTGGCAAGAGTAGTAAGTAGATCTTATATCCTTAGTATACTGGCACTTTATCAAAATGTGTTTAATTTCAAGAAAACTTAACAGAATAGATGTTATGGTTGAGTTGCTCGATTCAAGACACAGAAAAAAGTTAAATACGTATGACCAATGCGAGAGCGACACAAAACTATAATATAGGAGTGGGCACCGAAACACGTTCCTTGTCACCAGTGAGAACAGGGTCGGTCTATTGACACAGAACTATAGACCTCTTTTATATTTTTTTATGGGGAAATAATAGACCATGAAATGGATCAGATCCTTGGTTTGAATAGTGAATTTCAGTAACGTACACGTAATATAAAAATATAACCCCATCGCATACTATTCAAAACGTCAGTTTACACAAACTTGCCACTTTCAGTGATGTAACTTCTCTCCTGTTATAGTACAACATTAAACTCAAAGGCGAGTTTAAATAGTTTACATACATGGGTCAATAACAACTTTTCTTTATTATTACACCCAAGACATTAAATTTATAAATATCCATCAGGTTGATTCAAATTTAACTGATATTCAGCACTTTGGCACCTTAATAATTATCGAATGAATTTATTCATGTATTCACGACATCTGATTTAAGAATAATTAATTAAAGGGCGTGTAGCTCTATTCTTCGGAACCTCAAAATAAACGAAAATAGACCGAGAATCACATATTAATGTGATATGAATGTAGTATATAAACTGAATTATATTCGATAATAAACTGAATTACATTCGATAATAAACTGAATTACATTCGATTTTTAAAACTTTTAGACAGTAATCCTAATGGAGAGTCGTCTAAAATGAATAACAGTCGTTTGCACCTGGTTATTCTAATCTACACGTTTTATTTTCTTCCCGTTTTGTCTTTCAGCTATTATTAATTATCTTTGCATTGACTTGTGGGGTATATTTAAAGATTGCTTTCCTTTGTTCATTACAATGGCGATCGAGAACATACAGAACTTGACATTGGGAACAGTTCCCAATGCGAACTGATTTTAAAATGTTCATTTTGTTTTATATGTTGGATATCAAGAGCTCATATTTTTACGGTAAGATATATATAATAAACGGTTTTGAGCTAGAGCTATACGCCATTTAAAATATAATACACAATAATATCTTTGGACACGCAAAATAATAAGTTATGTTCTGGAAGTGCTAATAAGATTAACACCAAATGTGGGGATTTTTTTTCTCAAGAACACCCACATTTAGGTTAACAAACACTTTAGCAACCCAGCATTTACGGTTTAAAATTGATACTGTTTTGGGAATGTTTCTATATTACTAATCACACCAGTATATACTCTGAAATACCACAACCACAACTTTATGAATAACAATCGCTGGCAACTTTCGAAACATTTCGACAAGTCTTCCTCGTCGTTATCACTCGTTGGGGTGTACCTGATCCAAACACCCTTTAACTTTTACATTTACACCCATTCGAGCGTTCAATGATCATGAATCTCGGTTACACTTGTTAGGTGTTGCTCGTTTAGTTTGTTACATTTGTTAGGTGTAGCTTGCTTAGTTGGTTACACTTGTTGGGCGTAGCTTGCTGATTTCGTTACACTTAAAGGATGTTGGGCACATGCTTATATTTATTGTAGATTGCATCCATTTCAACAGAATAACGATTTCACAACTGGCTATACACTCACGAGTCTGCGTCAAAACACAATATCTTGCTCAAGTTATCAGAATTTGAGAAAATAAATAAATATATATATATATAATTATCGCAAATATCACCGATGGAGATCCATTCATAACCTGACAGGACATAAGCTTTCTTTTACTTGTATTCTTGTCAAGATTTCCATAAATATTTCTTATCATATAACAGTTTAGATAATAGAATGTTATAGGGTTCATAAAACTTTGTTAATATTTTTCTGGTTTCAATCCACATATCAGGTCCTTCCGCAAACCTTGTTCGGACATTCTTAAACACAGGTTCCATTATATATTTCATCTCTGAGCTGCCTAAATTTTCTGAAAATATGATGATAATATATCAATTTATAAAACGGCTAGACAGAAAGTGCACCCAGAAACGTCAAAATATTCCCATTTCCGCCCTCACTGTGGCATCCAGTGTCTGGAATACACGGAGAAACATGGAGTCGGTTGATATCGACAGATAGGTCTTTTACTGGTGACTGGTGTAAACTTAGGCAGTGAATATATGGGATGCTGATAATACAATATCATACACTTAACCATCATACACTTATATCAAAAACCAGATGTGTTTTTGATATATACATATATAGTGTATGTATCTGAATATTTAACACTAATTATCTGAAGTATATGAACTAACTTACGTAAATTTAAAAATTTAAATATCCTGGACATTTCATTCTCAGTGTCTGTAATAAATGTCTCAAATTGTATGATATGCATTTGGTTTTTAGGGAACACGCGATACCAATCCTCGAGATGAATAGCATATAAACCAATACCAACTCGTACCTGATAATATAGAAAATAACATTTATTTTATTAATGGTGCATTAATGGCGATTATTTATCAGCTGATCATTCGGGAATTTATTGTCTTATGCTATATACCCGAATTTTACCCCGAGTATTATGCCGGTAATCTGAAATGGAATTGGGTTTAACGCCCTACTGTTCGTCTCCGTATGCTTTGAGGGAAAATTTACCTGGACAGCGGTGCTCTTATATCGAATTCCAACTGCCCAGGGATTTTTTCACGTGTACGCCAATTTACCCAGGTCGTCCCAGCCCAGCGACTGTACCTTGTCCCTTACCAGACCCTTTGCCATGCACCACTGACAAGGTGGAACTACGCCGGTAAATCCCAATGAACTTTCTCGACCAACCCAAGGATCGAAGACGGGACCTCCAGGTTAGTGAGTGAACGTCTTACTCGCTGAGTCAGCGTTGCTCCTCGTCAGAATCTACCGGAAATGAGTCCATTGGAATCTATACCTTGATGGTTATATATCCGGGAGGGCACAAATCTCGGATTTTTTCTTGTCAAATAACGAAAGTGTTGTGTTGACATCAAACTCTACTTATTCCTACAGTTTTATACCCACAGTATTGTTCACAAACCAACTAGGACACAAATAACAAAAGTGTTAAGTTGACTCATATCAAACTCCGCCCTATTCCTACAGTTTTATACCCACAGTATTGTTAACAAACCAACTAAGACACATCACCAAGAGGTACCAACACCCTTTGCCTAACCGTTAAAAACGAAAAAAAAAAAATGAAGTTACCTGACTATCTGAATGGTATATATCTCGATTATATACACAATATCTTATAGTGTGGTTATTTATTAAACATTTTTCTAGTTGAAATATTTGTTCTATGACAAGTTTATTAAACAGCTCATTATCAGGATCATATTTCAGCCATACTGATTGAGCTAAATAATCTGAATATACCCTGTAATAAAATATAATATTTATAGTTTTAGAAGCTAAACAAACATTATGCAAGAGCTAAATCTGCCTATTGCAGGTCTTCCTTTAGGTCTGAAATGTTATATAATATAAACTATTAATTAGACATCTATTTACATGAAAAGAACATAATCAACTCTCGATGCAATCTTAACTGTCCGATTTTCCCTGGATTTGAATCCAATATGCCGTTCAACGTCCATTGATAATTAACCGCAAAAATGGATAATCGAGACTTTGTTAATTATCGGTAACGTTGACAATCGAGGCTACAGTGATTGAATAAAATTTTCAGCATATTCCCTTTACATTATCTAGTTTTTAACTATTATAATCCCATTTCATTTGTAACAGAGTCTCTATTAATCCATTTCATAGGAGTTTTCTGATGTGACGAGTCCACTTGCCGTCGTTACGCGATTCTGCTGAATTCGTCAATTGGATTCTAAATATTGACAACGGGTTATGATCGATTTAGCTTGAATTTTATTGCCACTCCATATTATATATATTTAAAAGTTTTTACTTCCAGTGTGATTCCATGGGCTATCGTTACGAAGTACTTCGGTATTTGGGGTAATCCCATTTCAATGGATGTTTTGTTGATTTACCTACCTGTCTATTGGATCTCGTAAAGCTACGATGATTTTAGCGGATGGATTTAAATGGTTGATATAATCAGCGTTAGTTAGACATGGTTCTGTACAGTTTTCATTACCAGATAAATCTTGCCATCGTGTATTATCCCACATAACATCACCACTACAATCACCTGTCAATACGCATATCAATGATAGAATTTAATAAACTAGTTTACATTAGTTTAAAATAATTTCATTCCGTACAATACAAAGAGATTGGACAAAAGTTTTTTTTTCTTACATTAACAATGCGAAGGTACCACAGAAAGTGTTATATTATTTTATGAATTTCCCTGAAATGAGAAATGTATACAGATGTTTAGAAGAACTAAGCATGCCCTGTATGATTGTCTACATCTTTAACTATTGCGATCATATAAATGAAACCAAGCCTATCATTTTACGCAAGCATGTTGTAATGTCACTGTCCGTCCATGCAAACTGTATACTGTATATGCAATGGATTAGAATATGGTCAACGCAATGCTTTGGTGGTTTTGAGACAAATATGTGGTAAGTTTTGGGACAAATATGTGGTAATTTTGTGGCAAATATGTGGTAATTGTAGTAATTTTTATTTCTATGGTTAGGTGTGCAATGCGAGATGAGAGAATTTTGATAGTTGACAGTGGCGTTTCCACTAGCTCTTATTTGATTTCCAATTGCCAATAATTCTTTTAATGTCCATCGCTTTTTCGTCCGCTCTGAACGACTAGATTTCCTTATCAGCCCGGATTTGGAAAATCTAGGATCATTAAAACTGAAAATTAATAGAATGATGGTTAGTCCCTAGTCAGACAACATATTTTTTTCTTAAAGCCGTATCAAATCGTTAACTGGCGTTTTATTTATAATAGGGGTTCGGCTAAGAGATAAGGCGCTCTCGAATGCACTCCAAAGTTACACGATGAGAATTTAATTTACTTGAGAGAAAAAAAAGGATTATTAAGATGAGGAAATAAAACAACTTAATCGCTGGTAATAAAAGCAACAATTTACAGACGTTAAATAAGTGCGCTGTGTAACCATCTGCGATTAAAACTACATCTCGAGGCATGCAAGAGACAAATACAAATATGCGCAAACAAATTTGTTTAATGAAATTACCTAATTGGTTAATAGACTGTAAGTCTATTTTCTAACAATTAGGATGTGTAGACTAAAGAGGACGACGTGTATTTGTTTTGCTGTGAGCTTTAGGCTTGTAGTACAGATTTTTTTTAAATTAAGGAATGTGGCTGTCGTGTCTCATCTCAGCAACCGAACAGTTACCCCGAATGGCATGGTATTTATAAAGCCCAGTTAAATATATGCAGAAGAAACACCCGATAACTTCTGATCTAATCATACAATTAACAATTTACAAATTCCAAACCTAGGAAGAATGGGAATGTATAAGAAATGATAATTGTGAATAATAAGAAATAATGACTACTGGGGTTTAATGCAATATAACTCTCTTGTAGTAAACACATGTACATGTACATAAAAACAGTTTGAATTAAATTCAAGAAAGAAGTAACCCCAGTGATTGTTTAGACCCGGCCTTGTGTGTGTGTGTGTGTGTGTGTGTGTAGAAGTGATCGTTCGGATGGAACGAAAAACCGAGTTCAATTCGTGTTGAGACTGGTGTGCACGTAAAACAGAACCCTTGACAGTTGAACATGACATGAAATGGGGTTTAACGTCCTACTGTTCTGCTCCTATACTGGGCTAATGAAGACGGGCATATGCCATACAGTGTGCTATGAGGGAAATTTTGCCCGGGCAGCGGCACTGTCGCCTACTCTTATATCGAATTCCAACTGCCAAGGGATCTTTTACGTGCAGTCCAATATATACACGGGACCTCGGTTTTTGCGTATCATCCGAAGGACTAGACAGCTGTCCTTGTCAGGCCCTGGGTTCTGCACCACTGACAAGGGGAAACCACGTCGGAAAATCTGGATGAATTTTCTCGGCCAATGCAGGGATCGAACACCCTACCTCCAGGCTAGCGAGCCAGTGTCTTAACCACCTAGCCACCGTGGCTCCTTGACAGTTGAAGAGTAGGCTAGAACGCCACAGCCTGGACATGATTATCCTACCTCGCACTGTACACATAGAAACAGAAATGACCATATATTTATCACAATGTGAACAAAGTATTTTGTTGACTAGAAAATAAACCCATTTCTACTTCATTCTTGTGTCAGATAAATAACCTGTATTTGTTTACAGCTATTTACTATACTATGTAAAATAATGTTAATCTCACCTGTCACTTTATTATAATATGATGTATTAGTTTTTATATCTATTGTTGCATTCATCCGTATATTCTCTGATATTTCATGGAAGAAATCCAAATATGTATTCACAGAGGAACACCTGAGTTCTGCAATAAAAAAAAGGTTTAGGAATTTGTTTTAGTTGGAACTTTAAGGTTATGGGAAAGACAACCTGTAGACTCTATCAAAGGACTAGATCCTGATTGGATGCAGACCACCATAAATCTCCCCATTGACAATATTAATTCTGGTCTCTATGCCAGGTTCCAACTTTTTCTCAGATTTTCGTTGTGCTTAACGCTTTACACTACTGATGGAGCAACAACTAGCTATGTGTTTGCTCCAGAGCGTGTATGAGGTTGACCACTGAAATTTTGAGATAAACAAACTTGAAGTAGCTTATTAATAAGCATGTAACTAATATATATATATATATATATATATATATATATATATATATATATATATCCATCGTACATATCACCGTAACCAACCTCTAAAAGTCTAAAGCCTGAAACATTTACCAAATCCTGCCATAAATCTCATTTCAAATCCTTTTCTTCAAGAAAGACTAGTTTTGTAAGGAACTAAATTCGGTGTACCAAGATGGTGAAATCTAATAGTGGTCTGTCTCCCAATGCTATTATCTTTGCACTTTAAACTATGCGGAATTAAATTACAATCAGACCACGCGATCTGATTTTTCAGAAATTAAATTAGTTATAGTATACAAACCTAGTCGTAAATACGCATACTTACGAAATCTATGTCTTTGTATCCAAAAAATATCTTTCATATGTGGTGCAATTATATCTGGATGTCTAATCAATCTTTCATATATATTTGTAAGTCCAGATCTAGGTTGACCCACCATGTAAAAATATGGCAGACATCGGAGGATGGGTGGTTTTAGGTCTTCTTTAAATTTCACATGATAGAAAGCGCCATGTCTGCACGTGGTTTTCGTATGTTTTGTTTCGAGCCAGCATGGATTTTTGTATTCTTGTAGAAAACTGGGTCTCTTCTGTGTAATAAATTACAACTTATATGAGTATATTCTGATTATACAAAAATACAACAAATGTTTGTTAGCTATGTGAGCGTAACAAATTAGAAGTAACAAGTGTTCTGGAAAAAATAACCATACCTTAACCCGTGAACGTCATCAGTTACGACCACTTGATAATTCGGCCTAAGGCTTCGAACTGGATGTACTACAGGGCAACCGGGTAGAAGATTAGTCTTTTGAGGCTTAAGGTCATGTCACCAAAAGAATCACCAGCTCAGTGCCTCGGTTGTATATAAGTATTTAAACACTGTATTTGTTGTGTTACCGTATTTATTTTAATAACATGGATATTTAGAAATTCAAAACTTGTCAGTATAAACGTAAATTCATAGTGAAGTATAAGACATCGAAGTGCATTGTACATGTAATTTGAAGATAAACCAGATACTTAAACCACGTACTTTAGACAAATATTTACACATCAGATAAAAACCGGTGTGCAATAAATATTTTCTCCATATAGACGGTGATATGGGGACCATCATATACTTATCAACCGGTTTTGTATCCCATAAATAAGACAGTAATATAGTGAGTGATAAATGGAATGTAATAAAATGCCCAGTAAAAACATGCTACGACTAAACATTAGCACATGGCCTGGTTATCTTTCGACAGAAGTTAAATACGAGCGTCGACCGACATATAGACCATCGCATTTTGAGGGCTATTCTTATTTTTATTACTCGAAGCAGGATATGCTTACTTTTTCTAGAACATATGACTCCACTGTTGACAATTTACGTTGTACAGTATTTCCATTCCCACTTGGGACTATAATATAAAATGGATATGCATTTATTTAAATTGAGTTAATATTCCCATATGTAATAAAATCTATAGATTAAAACAAATTACAAGCGGCCATTTGTAAAGTAATTGATAAATTTGACATACCCACTTTAATATATCTAGATCTTGGTGATAAGCATAACTTCTTATCTTTTTTATATCCCTGTGTGTCTGTTTTACTTGACTCTTTCCATTTTTCTTTTCATCAATAATAATTATTCGTTTCTGAGATTCTGGCACTATCTGTTTCGGCAATGACTTCTGTGTTTTGTCCAAAAGCTTCGACATATAGGAGAAATTTGATAAATGGACTTCAATGTTTATCGATGTATGTAAGTGTCGATGGAGCAGGTTGTGTGTCAGCAATACGTAAACGGTGGTTAAGACGCAACCAGAAAACACAGCCACCAAAAAGGAAGATATCACATTCATGTTAGATAATTTTCTACTGAAGCAGCTCATGAAAAAAATCTGAAAAACCAAACGACAGAGTCATAGAAGAAATTATACCCGTATACATTATTAACATTGATAATTTGAAATCAACAGTATTAACTATTTGAACCCGGAAACACATGACGTTAAGAAGGACATCGACATTGCTGTCACGTGAATTATATATATATCTATTCTACCCGGAAAGAATGATACGATTATTAAGGTTTATTTTACTATACTATACGTCGATGATCTTTGACCTTTGACCTACTTGACGACTTAAAGCAAAACTAAATAATAGACTGACGTTTAATAAATGATAAATGTATATATTTTTCTAATGAGTGTAAAATAACTGGTGATGTGGAAGACATAATATCTATAAATTTTTGGAGTGAAGGGTGATATCTATAATAAAAAAGAATAGGCTGTTCTCTTAAATCTTTATATAATGGACAACAGAGTAAAAAATGATATTCATCTTCAACGTTATTTAAATTTGAATAAATTACAAATTCTATCACTTCTGGTAATCTTGTCGTATCTTCCCGTTTTGTTTAGCAAGTTATGTAATACACATCTAAATTTGGATAGAGATACACAGTAATTATGATTTAAGATATTTGATAAATATTCTTTCTGTGATAAAGCAATGGTGAAAAGGCAGGCGCCCAATTAAAGCCATTATTTTTATTCGTCATGGATACATCGTGAAGAATAGCATTGTACGCCTGATATAATAGACTTGTTTTAAATGAAATAATATGTATCCAATATTTAATGATAAGTTGAAGTCGTGTAATTTGAAGCGGAACTCTGCCAAGATCACCATAGACTGTTGGTGTTGGGGTGGATCTTTTTAAACATAGAGTTTCTTTTGTTAAATTTTAGATGTAATCGTTCGATGTCTGATGATTTATGGAAGCCGCATACAGGACATGCGTAAGATAAAATATAACCAACATAGGTATCGAATAAAAAACATTGTTGTTCAACCGTTGGAAGACAACTCTATTCCTAGATATGTAAAGATTTTTACACATTCAAACCTATTATTATTGTACATATGAAGTTATAATTGCTACACTTTAATTGTTCAAACATCAGAATTTTAGTCTTTTCTGTGTTAACAGTTAGCTTCCAATTATTACAATAAATAAGTAATTTATCTAGTAAATGTTGCAACCCCTTTGCTGACGTAGATATTAGAGTAATGTCGTCAGCATACATAATACAGGTTAATATCAGATTATCTAAAATAACAGAATCCACAGCATTGTTATTCATATAATTATTCAAATATATTAAAAATAGGAGAGGTGAGAGATTATCCCCTTGTTTAACTCCCGAAAACGACGAGAAATAATTTGAGTATTTACCATTGTACTTAACATATATTTACATTGTCATACATTGAATAGTCAATAAAATTAAAATATAACTTATTGTCCGATGACAGGTATTTATTTACTATCATTTGTAAAACAAAAATACAATCAACTGTACTTTTATGATGTTGAAAACCGAATTGCCTATTTGAGAGTACATCTCCCTTTATAGCCCACGATAGCAGACGCTTATTTATAACAGAAAATAATTTGCTAAACACACACAATAAGGTAATCCCTTTCATCAAATATAAGATGAGTACCATGAGATTGAAAGACATTCTGAAAATGGTCATAAAAATCAGACAAATTCAACTGGGTGGCATGTTGGGATGTATCTTTATTATTTTTGTACAGTTGAATGTATCTCCAGAATCCTTTCGGGTTGTCTTTAGCCTTTTTACATAATTCTAGACCAGAACTATATCTGTACAATATTTTAGCATAGTTTTTAATAACATTATATTTTGTTCTATTTTTAACAAAATTAGTTCGGCCCTGTTCAGTTTTTGCTTTATTAAATACATTTCTATTCTTTATAAAATCATTTCTAACACAAACACAATTATCATTAAACCATGTAATTTTATTCATACTATGAGGTTTGCGGTAAGGATTACTTAGGTTTTTTTTGTGGAACCAATAACGTCAGAACACAAATCAAACAGCTAGGTGTGTTATTTCATACACGATATCATCTCAAAGAGTACCTCTTTTGTTTAGGTCATAATAAAATTGAATTGTGTTAAATCTCTAACTTAATATTTTCCATAATATTTGAAATTAAAAACACGAATTAGAATTCAATATTGGTCAATTTCAATCACTATTGATGTTGTTATCTTGCCATGAAACTATAGGATCCTAATATCCAATATTAAAGACATAATTAACATTTTATAATCTGTACACGGGTCCTGTACTCTATAGTTTTGGGTGCCATTATGTAATGGATAAATAAAAACATATAATACAATGTGGCGGTAATTAGTAAAGGTTGATTCACAAACGACAAAATAATAATAATAATAAAAAGTGTAGAATGGACTAAGCAAGCGTAAACGACTGCCGTTCAATTTGAACTGTTCACGTATTTCACCGAACGTAATTGATCAGAAATTACAATATATTTTTTTTCAAAAATTGAATATATCACTTAACATGCATTCATATTGCATTAATACGTGCTTTTAGAACCATTTATTCTATTTCAAGGTTCCAAACATTAGAGCCATACGCCCTTTAATAAGATGTGTTCCTTCGATGTTTTTTGTGATAAAATTTTGACTGATTAAACGTGAGCCACGGTGACTCTTTGGGTGGGTCGCTTACTCACTAACCAAGAGGTCCGACCAAAAACAAACTGTATGAAATCAGGGAAAATAATTATCAGTGTAATTTGCATTCGTAAATCTCAATGTGCGGTGTAAATTCCACGAGAATATTGGCTTACAGGTACATATTTATATACTAAACAGCAATAAAAACGTCAGTACGATTTCAAAATCAGAGAGGCTCTTTAATCAAATCATTCTAGAAAACGACTTACTAAATGGATCAAAGCAATTTTTTGTGAACAGTATGCTAACACATTAGTGATTAATTCATCACAATTCCAAGACATTACGAGAAGGTATAGAGTCTGTACACAGTCTATACATCAGTATCTGGCGTGTCCACCGCGAGTGTCAATAACAGCAGCGCAAAGTCTGTACATGGAGTGGACCAGACGATTGATGAACGCCATTGGCACCTGGAACCACACTCTCAGAAAAGCCTGGCGCAATCCATCGGCTGTGTTTGGTCTCGGTACGACGTTATTAATCTCTGAATTTCATCTCAAAGATGTTCAATCGGGTTTAAGTCCGGACTAAGGACTGGCCAGTGCGTAACCTTGACACCGTTCTGCTGTAGAAAGTCCCGAGTAACTCTGGCGGTGTGGGCACGGGCGTTGTCATGCTGGAAAACGTTGTTTCGATGACGTGCGAAATGTGGTATGACGTGGGGTCTGAGAACTTGATCGATGTAGCTCACTGCTGTGATGCCGCTTCCTCTCCCTGGACCAAGATTTTTGAACACCACAGGACCCACTCTCTGGTTCAGTCCGATTCCACCCCAAACCGCTATGCTTGGACCTCCCCATGAGCCTTGTTCCATGACACATTGGTCAGAATAACGCTGGCCACGTCGACGCCATATTCTGGTCCTGGCATCTACAGTTGATACGCAATACCGACTCTCATCTGTGAACAGAACAGTTCTCCATTGCCTATGTCGCCAGTTCTGGTGTTGTTGGGCAAACTGTAGACGTTCACGTCGATGGCGAGGGATGAGGATCGGTCCACGGTAAGGTCTACGGCAATGGATGTTCTCTCGGGTGAGACGTCGGCGCACTGTATCGGTACTGATGGGTCTTCCGTGTGTTCCCACTGTCTGACGTGCTGTCCCAGATGCCTGTGTGAAGGGATTCTGCACGTGCTGTCGCACAACATGGCGGTCTTATCGCCTTGTGGTAACCCTTGGTCTACCAGTTCGGGGGCGATCATCCGTAGTGTTGGTGGCTTGAAAGCGTTGCTGAAGCCTGTATATGGTCCGAACATTGACCTGGAAGTGATTGGCAACAGCTTGGGCAGTGTGGCCAGCGTCAAGTCTTCCAAGTGCCTGGTTCCTCTGGGCTGTCGTGAGTCGTGGCATGCTGCTGACGTTGTAGTATGAATGATTCAACCAGGTATGGGGGTGCATTTTATAGAGCTGGTCCCAGTGAGCAGAACGTGCAGCATGAGTTGCATGAAAATCATGGAGAACACATTACCATCTCAAAAGTCAGGTTGCGTTTTTGAGAACATTTTCCGGGTTCAATTCTGTGTTTCGGAAGGAGCCTTATTGCTCAGGTAAAGATGTGGTCACAAATATACAATAAAAACATTTGGCAAGTTTTATGCAACGCGTCTATTCAGAGTAACATACCAACCTGACGTTTCTTTTGCTGCTTAGTATATAGTTTAAAAACTCAATGTTCTTATATGTTATATAATATGTGCTACATGTTATATTATATAATATTCTATATGTAATGTTCTATATGTTATATGTAATTTTTCATGTTATATGTGTATGCCCGTCTTCATTGGCCCAGTAAGGAGCAGAACAGTAGGATATTAAACCCCATTTCATTTCAATTATATGAGTATATGTAATTTTTCATGTTATATGTGTATGCCCGTCTTCATTAACCCAGTAAGGAGCAGAACAGTAGGACGTTAAACCCAATTTCATTTCAATTATATGAGTATTGTTTTTTTATTTCATATTTTATATATATACAGTATTATTAACTTTTAATAAATGCCCCATTTCACACATTCAAACTATAGCACAGCGGTAGGAGTGTGGGTAATACCTCATCTCTCAATCATGAACATCATAAACAAACCAGAAGATGTCGTCTAACAATAGGTGATAGATCAAAGCTCATAACTCAAATCTTTATCTACTACAGTATGCGATTCTCTATATGTACCTTAATTTTGATTATGATTTTTTAAAAAAGGAAAATGATATTCCTAGCTCAGTTAATAGTATTAGATGCCAACATATTCAATCATTCATTCTCGTGTTAAATATTTACATAAAGATAAAGAGCTGGCAGTTCTCGCTATAATAGTTAAAAACTATATAATGTAAAGGGGGTACT